TTGTATGTTTAAATATTTTTACCCAAATTAATGCGTCTGACCGAGCTGAATACGATGCTGTAAAAATTATTCCAAAATATTTGATGTTTAAGAAGTTATAGGCATTTTGAGCGAAAAATTATCCATTTTTCGTCAATATTACTTACTTGCAATGCACAGGAGGCCCACATAATTATATTGCAAAGATATGATCAAAAATATAGAAATGTTGTATTTTCTGTGTTGACTTTATCTGAGAAAAAATGGACTTACTGCCTTTCTAGAGAGGAATCGGTTGAAATCGATTCTGATAAAAGGCATTAAGGGGGCCGGGGGGGGGGGGGGGGGGGGTCTTCATCAAAATTATCTCGAAATTGACTTTGTAGTTGTTTCTGATGGAGGGGAGTGATATCTATCAGCTGTTTTTGATCCCATGGAAAAATATTGTTCCTAGCCGAAAATATTGCCGGTCAAAGGTCAGCGCTTATGTGTAATTGTATTGCGCGAGCGATTTTCAATCGCGCGCCCTGAAAATCGAGTCTAAAAATCTATCTTCTCCTACATTTTTTGAGCAATCACCCTGAAACTTTCAGGATATGTTCTAAGGACCATTTAGAAGAGATTGTCGGGCCAGAATTTTGAGATAGGCCTTAGAAAAATGTTTATTCGATTTTGAAAATCTTGGACCTCGTATTTTGATGATTTTTTCAGGTCCAAGATTTTCAAAATCGAATAAAAATTTTTCTAAGGCCTATTTCAAAATTCTGGCCCAACAGTCTCTTCTAAATGGTCCTTAGAACATATCCTGAAAGTTTCAGGGTGATTGCTCAAAAAATGTAGGAGAAGATAGATTTTTAGACTCGATTTTCAGGGCGTGCGATTGAAAATCGCTCGCGCAATACAACTACACATAAGCGCTGACCTTTGACCGGCAATATTTTCGGCTAGGAACAATATTTTTCCATGGGACCAAAAACAGCTGATAGATATCACTCCCCTCCATCAGAAACAATTACAAAGTCAATTTCGAGAGAATTTTGATGAAGACCCCCCCCCCCGGCCCCCTTAAGTCCGCAATTCCCTCAGAAAAGGCATTAAGTCCAATGCGGATGGGAAAATAGTTCAGTTATTCTGGAGGAAAATGGTTTTTGTAGATCAGTGTTGGTAAATTCATGCATTCAAGCATGTTTAGGACATATGACAATAATTTATTTACAAATAGATGTCAAAATTAACCCCGTTTTTGCGAATAAAATTACTTAAAAAACGACGAACACATTTGTCCCATTTTCTCAAAATGACATCGATGTGACTTAATGCGTTTTCTCAGGGAACGGCAGTATAACTGTAAACAAGTTAGTCCTGTTTTCAAGAATGCGCGGCTTTGGCGGCCAGTTATTGACTTATATATAAAAGTGAATCTTAAATAGAAATGTGAATATATTAAAATTTAAAACTTTCAAAACGGAGGCTTATAAATATTATTATATTATGATTGTAAAAATAAAGGATGAAATTTGTTCACTAAAATTTGTTTCACTTAAATTATATGAAATCGGAATAAATTAATTTAAAATAAGGTAACAAGTTCATTTGTCAACGAAATACTCTATGCAAATATTAACTTTGAACTGTCCAAGTCTGCCTGACTAATTACCATACTTAAACCTATAAATATCCCATGGTCGGTATTTTCATCAGATTATTCTGTAATTCATTGCAGTTGCTGGTGATGCTTACCAGCAAACTTGTCCATACAGGTATGTCTGATTTTCATATTCTCTGTAGCTTAGATAAATAGTTTTGGAAATCGATTTTCCACCATGGCTGGATAATTTTGGACAATGACCTCACATAAAAGTTGACACTCAAAATCAGTCTGCGCTATCCTCGATAGGCCCTGCTGAAGAAGCAGCAAGAGCACCATCAATCTTAGCTTAGATTAGGTCTAAATAAATTCCAACATTCTTGAAACACACCTACATACTCTGATAGTGTCTAGAAAGTATCCCTGTACCATCAAATTACATTGTGGAATCTTTTTTCCTCTGTCTGGCACCAATGAAACCCCAATTATGTGTGTGATAAATCAAATCAAATCAAATAATAATGACACAAACGTCATCACATGTCATCATAGATATTTCTAAACATTTATCAATCATAACTGAAATTATCTTAAATCTTTCTAATTTAGCTTAACAGCTTATAACTCTATCTTTGTTTCAACAAAGTCTAACTCTCTCCAAAAGAGAAGAATCCTTGAGATTCCTAACTTTAGTATCACTCTTATTACATCTAGATCTACTGCATGACACTACGTTTTGATTGAAGCTGCTCATTGCAAACATATAATAGGATCATGTCATTAGGATCACCAATAACAGCATTTAGACAGTGCTCTGCCAGCATCGTTAGATTAAAGATTTCCTGCCGACGGGTGTATGAACGAGTATCCACCTCATCAATCAGATGGGTAAACCGCCTCTGGACATTCTCCAGCTCCAAGATGATCCCCCAACTTCCATACGCTTGAACTGAATTCCACAATTGAATAATCCAATCTGTTCATTCCAAAGCAAGGAATTATGGGTTATAACCCTTAAGTATTTTTCCTGTACATAGATTCTTCTAAAACAAATCCATTAATAAGTCTAAATGCATAACTGTACATTTGGTAGGACTGAACTTTTAAAAGCCACATACTTTCCCACATTTATAGTTCCTTTAATGTCAAAGTTCTGTAACTTATACATTCCATCTATTTAGGCTGCAAAAAGATCTCTTTTGAGTGCTGCTGAAATGTTCATAGCCTGGAGATTTTGTGTTGAATTGTAGAAAAGTGTGTCTTCTGAAATGATTAAAAATTTCACGAAAAAGCAAGAATTTACCATAAAGTGAAATTATGCATCCTTTAATCCTTACATAGGTCTCGTTCACATAAGTCAGCCTTACTCAGAGGCTATGTCTAAAGTGGCTTAGAGGGGGTCTAAAATAGCAAAAACTTGGCTTACACGATTTGAACGATCCCATATAGCTTTTTTATAAAACATTATGAAATTTTCTATCAAAATCATATGTTCATACATTTTCCTACATTTTTAGCTTGTTAAAGTGTCAATGAGATCATCACAAAAGATATTTGTTTTGGTGAGTTCAGATTTCATGATTAATATTATTTCAGCAATCAATGTCATTGATATTATTATGTACTGATGAGTTGCTATGTCTTAGTTTCTCAGAGAGTGCTCAAATGACAAATAGAAGCTTTTCAATAACACTTAAAACAGTTAAAATTAGCTAGCAAATAATTGGTTCTATAATAATAATACGAAAATATGCAGATGCCAGATCATTGAAATTGTAAACGGCTTTATCATAACCATCTCAAACAGAATCGTTTGTTCGATTTTTCATTCAATATTATGATAAGAATATTCTTCACCTGTGCAACATGTAATAAGAAAGTCGATTCATTGAATAATTGATTAATCGAAAACTTATATTATGGATGACCTCCAAGTTAAATCTGAATATTAAACAAGCCAATAACAATTATTTCAGTTCCTGTATGTGGCTGTTGGGTTTTCTTGGAGTGTCGTCCTCTACGCTGCATACACAAAAGGAAAACTGCTACTGTGAAACATCTCTTTTGTGCTGATTTTGCACTTTGAATATCTATGTCAGACGCTTGCTGCTGCTTTGTTGTAGCCTTGGCATCAACATATTATACAGTATAATTGTTAAGTGTATTTTATATAACGTATTATAATATCATATAAGTGTAAATAAACTGTCCAGATTTTTAACCTCGATGTGAAAAAGCGTAGATTTTATTTTATGACTTATTTAAATAACTTATTTGTGTTTTGGGTAAACTCAGCAATTATTGTTTGTGTTATCAGTTCTGTAAATATTCAGATTTATGTGTGAGTATTATTGCATAAGAACACCACACCATAAAACTTAACAGCTATTTTATCATGTGCTGAATATTATTCAATATTTGCCATTTAAATTTAAATTATTCCGACAAATAAAAACGTAGGATTTGAACCATCATTTAAATATAACCCAACTTGTAGTAAAGACCATGTATCAGAACAACAAAAGAAAACTGGAGGACATCAACTCCAACTTTACGAAATCCTTCATCTTCAACACGATCAAAGAAACCAATCCTCAAAAATCAGACATAGCAGCTGCAAACCTAGTCAACAACCACATAAAAACCAACTCTCACATTTTCTTGAAAGAGCCCTACAAAAAGAAAACATCAAAAAAGAACTGCCTTAAACAGCCGTTATCTCACAAAGAACGGAGAGAGTTAGGACTGGATACGTTGAAACAAGGAGAGGTGACATTTAAAGAACTAGTCCCAATTCATAAACTGTGGTGTCAGTACGTCTCTCAGATTGGAAGTAAGGAGGAGGATATAGCACGAGCAGATCTACATGGTTGTTTTATGACTGTTACTAAAACTATGTGTCCTCCTCTGCTCAGGAAATGTGGGATTGTGGCGATGGAGTCCCTCAATACTTTTACTGTGGTGGATGAAAGTGATAAGGTTCATGTTCTTCCCAAACGTGGTAGTGTGTTTAGTTTTGTTATAAATGATTGTGTTGTTAATATTTTCGGAAATAATTTCATTTTCAGACCAGGTGAAAGGATTATGAAGAAAATTTCTAAACAAAAGCTCGTTTCCATTTGAAGTTTAATTTGAACAATGGGGTGATTTTGATTTGATTTGAGCAAATAGTATAGTATTTTGTATACATGAATTCCAGATAATAATTGATCGTATTATTTTCACAATTATTGTGCCGTGTGTCAATATATTGAACTTAATGGAGTTAATTAAACAACCGTTACAACTTGTATTATTTTTAACATTATTTTAACATGTTGTTATATTACATTACAATTAAATATTGTTATGTTGTTGTCTGATTCCCTCGCTAACTCGTTTCTAATAATTTCATTTCTAATAATTATCTTAATATTACCTCATTATCATTTCCAGAAATGCAAAATAAAAGATGACAGACACAGTAGGATTTATACCATTACCCAAAAGTACAGCTAACGATGCAAGCTCTGAGAGTCCGGTGCTGGTCCTAAATGCTTTTGCTCCACGCACTATCGTTGATTTCGGAGATGTAAGTTACATTTTAATGTATCATTATACTACAGATGATTGCACGCTTCGAGGTATAATTTCATTCAGAACATCTACTGCTTCAGTGTCAGTCTTGAAATAAATTAAGGAATGTGAATTAACGAGAGTTAAATCATTAAATCCGACTCTGCTAGGACATGCCCATAAATGAATTTCTTGGATCCCGAATGGAGACAAAAAAAGCTGATCTTATTTTCATTTGTTCATATAAGACGATGGTTCAATAGTCAAAATATTCAATCTCAACGAATTTGAACGATGAAAATGTTTAAATACCTCTGATAGCCGATTTAAGCGCATCTTTAGAATTGTTGTCCAATGCTAAATATCGTTGCACGGATTGAATATGGTACTCATCTTAAGGCCAGAGGGGGGGGGGGGGGGGGGGGGGGGGGGTAAGGGGTCAACAAATTCTACCAAAATATTATTTTCTAAATCGATTTAATTTTGACAAAAACATTGCCGCTATTCACATATTTGTAGCTGATTAACTTTATTTTATAATTGAGGTTAACCGATTTTCGCAAAATTGACTATACAACATTGAGGTTAATAAAATTGAGGTTAATATTTTATTCCACGCCATAATTTTTCGTTATTTCGGTCAGCAAATGTAAACTCTAAATTTTAGGTTCATAATTATCAGAAAAAGTAATATCCAAACGTGATTAAATGAGGTTAACCTCGTCTTTTAGATATAGCGAGAATAGATCAAATGATAGAGTTACTATTTTCATCGTAAGTTTACGGTATACACATTTCTAAATAGATGACGTGTCGATTGACTTTCTTTTATCTTGGGAAAATGAAAAAAATGAGGTTAACCATCACATTTTGGTACCGTAGGGAGTATACATACGATTCTTACTTATGTTATGTACCACAATATCGAAGTGAGGTATCTATTGGTATCACAATGCCTACAACTATAATCACGTGACAAAGGTGATTTGAACTGACCATATTTTAGTAGAAGATTTTACCCGTAAATGGCTAAAAAATGAGGTTAACCTCTCATTTTTTGAATATCTGACCAGTCAATTACATGTTAACCTCAAAAACTTAATCGTTATACTGTGCAAATGTTTTACTACATATATAATAACATATTGATAAACCAATCCCACTATTATATGGTCTAAAGCGAGGTTAACAACCAAATTTTAAGCAGTTAGTGTTTACAGGAAGTCTTGGTTAACCTCATTTTTTACAATACAAGGACATTAACTACTGAAAGTGGCTAAAATCATTTAGGGGACGGCCAGGTCTGATCAAGCAAACGTTATTAAGTGTATAAAAAGTCCTAACTAACGAACTGTGATACATTCCAGTGAATATTCAAAATTTTAAAAACACTAAATTGCATCTATCTCAAAACACATTTTGTGACTTTCAGTTCCTTAGTTGAGAAAACCAGCCACTCCCTGATATTGAGATTTGGTACAGTGGTTCCTTGGACAACTATCTAGATATTAGATGCAGCGATTTTTTTTATTTGACTCGTTTCTCGAATTATGAGGTTAACCAGCTAAATTTTCCGAATTTTTGACATGGTTAACCTCATAATTCGAGAACTGAGTCAAATTAAAAAAATCGCTGCATCATAAATGAGGATAATTGTCCAAGGAACCACTGTACCAAACCTCAAGATCAGGGATTGGCCGGTTTTCTCAACTAAGGAATCGAAATGTCAAAAAAGTTACAGCCGTTTAAAGTTCCAGTTTAACATGTAATTACAGGTAAACCTCAAAATTGAGCGCGCGATATCTCAGAAGCGCAAGGTCAGATTTTGATCCGGTTTTTTTCTTTTTGCTCGTCTCCAGTAGCTATTATCAAATATGCAAAAACTACAAAAGTGCCATTTACCCCCCCCCCCCTCTGGCCTTAACCCGAACCTAATCGATCGATTTGACGATTATATATTGGTATAAATTCTGATTATGATCAGAAAGAAATATAAACTCACAAGAAATATAACCCCTTCTATCTGAAATTTATTATTATGACACCGACGTCCGACATCGCTCAATTTTAAAGATTTGTGTATCACGACTCACGAGATACTTAAACTCAAAAACGTCAAAAATCCTTAGGAAGCTTGTGTCGGTAGATCGATTTTTGTCTGTACTATCGAGGGTTAAAATAAATTTAACCCTCATATTATGGGGTTTACAATAATTGGTTTTCGTAAAGTACTTTAATTTCAGCCATCAAGCTATAAACTCTCATCATTCTAATTTGTTCAGGTGAAAGCGGGGAAAACGAAAATCGCATGTTTCACATTAGTAAATCCGCACGCAGAGGATGCAATGATAACAACAGTCAAATTCCCGACCACTAAGACATTAGTGCTACACGGTTACTCGACGGAGGAGAGCAAGAATCGAGCTTACAAAATACCGCCAAATTCGTGTATTGACGTCAGGGTTGCCTGGACACCACGTATGTACATATTATACATATCATCAACGACGTTAATTACAACCATTAAATCTGGCAGACTGCTTTGGTTTCACAACCGCTTTTTGGTGATACAATGATTTTGTGGCAAGATTTATCCTTGTTTTTCTCTTTTGTTAGTCATTACTTTCTTCTTATAACCAAGTATACAAGCATAAGTTGCTCACATTATATCGTTTCAGAATATGCCACCGCTGATACATGGGGAATGAGACAGACAATTGAGCTGGGATGGGATCGAAAAAGATTTGTCATTTTGCTCGTTGGATTCGTTATGGACGGCAAGAAAAAGGTAAAGTCAATTTTGTGATGTTATAGCTATAGTGTTGTTGATAAAAATAGAACACGGGTCTATGAAAACTGATTAACCAGTGGTTGGACTGGCACACAGCGTTCCGCGCGCGCGAAAAATCAAAATCTCCTAACGTTAAACTTGTGTTAAAAGTTTTCATCAAGCGCGCAAATCCATTTTCGTGAAAATTTCAAAAATTCGAATACCCGCTCACTCCATCAATGATCTAATCAACTTCAACGAAATTGTACCTAATCTAAATCGGTGTTCGGGAGGTGAGCGTTAACTTTGTTATATTGATTCTTAAATTTTTTTATTAAATACTTTTCAAATTTTACAGAGTACAGCAATAGATGAATATAAAATAGAATCGTTCAAAATATCGCCCCCATCTGTAAAATATGATGGGCACCCAAACACGGTAAACACATAGTGAACTATGTCCGCAGTAACTTGGACCCATTACATCGAATTAATCTAAATCCAAAAATTTATGAAAAACTATTTAATAACAAACAAATCCATGGTGAATAACTGTGGATATAGAGTCAAAATTGGTAATTCAATACGTCAAATTCCAGATACATTAGATACAGGTCTGAAATGGTCATTAATGTGTGAGAAGGTGTGCGGGTGAAGTGTGATATGATGTTGAAAGTAAAGGAAGGTAGATAAAAAAAATTAATAAAACAAAAATAATAATAATATGGGGAGCAAAGAGACTAGGCTAGACTGTTGTTTCACTATCCAATAAACATTTCCATAGATGCTTAGTGACCTCAGCTTTGAAAAGACTAGTAGACACAATCTGTCTTACCTGTAAAGGGAGTCCATTCCACAGTATATGGGTTCTGTAGAAAAATGATTTTGCCAGTGGGCTATTTGAGGTACATGTGGTGTGTGAATTCTGACTTAACTTAGGTAAAATTGATGACACAATAGACAGACTGTCGAGGTGGCAACGTCTTAGTCGAGAAGTGCCCTGATATAAAGAGAGATAGTGAGGCAGCGATACAGGAATTAAATTGTTAAGAACTTTGTGGAAAAAAATAAGATCATTCAAGTCAAACTTTTGAGACAAAGGGAGAATGTCGACAAGCTTGCACTTTTTGACATATTGCTCAGGTGGATAACTGCGGCCCTCTTCAGACAGAATCCATTTAATAGCTCTCTTTTGGAGACTTTCTAATTTATCACTAAGTGATTTATTACAAGGGCGCCAGATTATGGAACAATTTTCGAATTGGCTACGAACCAGGGAGAGGTAAAGCGCCCGGCGACGTTTCTGATCAATGACAATATGGCCATCTCTTCTGACCATACCAAGTTGTTGGCAGGCCTTAGTATAAATTCTGTCGCACTGACTATTCCAACTTAGCTTAGGAGTAACATCGACTCCAAGATCTTTTTCTAACTCTAAAATAAGCAACTAAGATTTCGAAATCTCTTAAATTTCAGAAAGCAGTTAAGAACTTAAACAGAGGAAAGAAACCTGAAAAACCACTCGATTTGTCGATGGGACGAGACGAAAACGACGTCAATCTGGTTAATATATTGAACAAGTTTCTTACTGATGCACTGCTGATTTTAATTACATGCATGTAATAATTGAAATTTCTAAATTTTAGTCGCAACCTCTACTGGTGACTGTAAACAAACCATCCTCAGCGTTTTAAAGGAGTTGTCAATCACACAGCAAAGAATACAAAATCTAGTGTTCCAGATGTGAGACCGAGCAAAATCTTGGGTGAGAACCAGAAAAGTAATATTAAAGCTGGAACGAGGACTGAGACCGGTAAAAGGAAACTCCCGAAGAAAAACAAACCTCTAGCCCTAGATTTGAAGTCACCAATGGAAATGGACGATGTGAAGAGTGATGATCTTCTGCCCACTCCTCTTAGAACTGAGTTTGGGAAAGAGAGCCCTTTCGCTTGCATGGACACACCAAATTTCATCGACACACCGGTTTGTGAACTGAAAATAAACTGTTCCTAATTTGACTTTATTATGATATCTACTTAGTGTTTAATAAGGCATTACACGATAGAGAAAAATATCCTCATTATGTAGAAATCTTATTTTGATTAATTTATTCATCAAACCAAACAGCGACCGAGTAGGCGTCGGTCAATGCGAATTGTGGAGAGAGAATGTAAGAAAAAGAAAGTGTCCTCTGTTTATATGTTCTCTGATGATGACACAATCATGAATGTGAAGACTGAAGTGTGTAAAAAGCAGTTTCAAATTATCATACTTGCATGACAAAGATTATACTTGTATTTGGAAGCATCCTCTACAACTTCTTTGATCCGTTAATGAACAAATTTAATGCATTTAGAATAATCTTAGAGATTAAACAGCCCACATCCAGAAACACGCCATCTTGCCAAGCATTCTGGGAGGAAATTTTTTTGGGAGGAAAAAACGGGAGGAAAAAGAGGAAATTTTTGAGAAGTTACTCCTACGGGTAAACCGCCCCTAAAACGTCACCTGTTTTTTGGGCCCAGATTGCCGAGTTAGGGCTAAATTTACAGGGTTCTGAAGTGTCTAGGAATAATATTTAAACCTTTTTCTAGCCTGCCAGGAAGATTTGGAAATTTGAAAATAAAATCAGGTACAATTTTTTTGACGTTGAAATGGAGTCACTTTTAAAACACCACCCCTAAAATGTCAACTCTATATGTGTGATAATTACAAAATATACAGGAGGCCTGATTTATCTTTTGTCACTAGTATTAATTGTTTTGTCTTATTAAAACATTAAGCTACTTGAAAACATTCACTCACTAAAGGAAGTACCTCAAAACCGTAATCACCCCTTAAAATGTCACGTGCACCACCCCTAAAACGTCAGCTAAAACAGGTTGTGTAGCACTCAGAATGTTGCTCAATTATTAATTTTAACCACTTCTGGGAAAAATATAACCTATTTCTGAGAGGTGTCGACCAGAATTTCTCTCTCTGTTGAAAAAAAATGGTGGAATTTAGTCAATTTACTTTTTGCGACATTTTGGGGACTTTTTTTTGAATACCCAGAACTTACGGCAAAACAGTAACTCAGTCAACAAAATTTACACCTGTAGTTAGATTATCTAGTTATAAACTAACAATCGGCACAAAAGAAATGGATTCAATGTGATTTTAACCTTGTGCAAATTGCATGTTTTAATTGCATTTTTTGGGATTTTTTACATCATCCTGCATTTTGGCAATTTTAGTGACCTGTAGTTAACTAAGCCAACCCATTAATCGATCTGACCTTCTCTATAGACTAGATTTGACTGCTTTTAGCAAAATTGAATGTCAAAAACTACGGTTTTTGGTACTTACTAGTTTATGGTAAACCTATGATATGCCCCCTAAAATGTCATTTTTTTTCTCCCCTAAAATGTCAAATTTGTATTTTGTTCGCATGGTGTGCGATAATAGCTCTTGTTTTGGCACTTGTTAATTATTAACATCAACTATTAACGAAATGTGAGTATGCATTGCATCTTAGGAAAAGCCTGCGTAATTTGATCAGGTTAAAATGACATTTTAGGGGGGATAATTAGACATTTTAGGGGATGTTTATTGCAATTAATAAAATAAAACTAATTCCTTGAGCTGCCAAAGCTTTCCAATATTACCATTAGATGCTAAATATGATGTTTAATAGGCTGGTACCTCCATTTTATGGTGCTTGTACTCTCAAAGCCAGAATCTGATAAAATGACATTTTAGGGGGCGGCCAGGTGACATTTTAGGGGAGGGTAGTAATATTGAGTAATGTATAACTTTCCATATCTCCAGTCATATGTACAAAGTTGCTAAAATATGTAAATATCACTATCCTAGACCAAAACCGAGTTAATATTAATGAATTCCAGAGTTATAAAATTGTGCGCTTTTTTTCAAAAGTAAAAAATTCGTACAAAGTGAAAAAATTGCCCTTATGGCATCATTTAGATTCAATTTCAGGATGTGGCAGGGTCTGAATGATATTTTTTTATGTTTAGGAGTTACAAATGATTAGGTAAGATACTTTTTAAGAAGATGGGATCCAATCAAATAAGAGTGGCGTTTTAGGGGTGGGTGACATTTTAGGGGCGGTTTACCCGTAAATTTCGAAATATTTTTTTGGAATAAAAAAATTTTTCGATTGTATAAAAATCAAAGAGGAACATCCTGTCAGTTTTGGAACACAGTGAAATATTTTGAAATTTATCTATTTACAAGACTTGGTTTTTGACATCTGCTCAATATCAACTTTGGGGCTGGCCTTCCCCGACTTGAAGGCCATTTCTTTACATACATGATATATGTGTGATCACTGTAACGATTACATACGATACAAAATTGTTCGTTCAAAATAGACCTCTATAACCAAATTACTTCCATGGCTTTTATGCCTTTACAACTTTACAAAATTCGCCTTGCCACAGAATTTAGAAAAAAACGCATCTGGGAGGAAATATAAAACTTTCTGGATGTGGGTTAAACAGTAAGATTGGGAGAAGGAATTATTTTAACAAGCCCATTACACTAGTATTCTATTTTAACGTTTAAGGGTGGCATAATGGCGGTTTCGCCATTTACTTAACTGCAGTGTGACAGAAGTTAAAGGTAAAGTCGAAAGCCAGATTTCACAACATCTTGTTTTTCATACTATTCAATATTCTGTCTGTAGTCTGTCAATACTAGCCGAATGTTAATTTAAAAAAGAATATAAGGAGCATGGTTGTTCTTAATCGATTTTAAAACTAAAAATTTGTTCAGGTTGAAGAGCAGCCTAATCGTCGAGTAACCGCCTTGAAGGTGGAGACGACACCAACCGCATCTTCACTCGGGGACTTCGACAGTCCCTTCCAGGACCTTCTCACCCCGTTCACTCCCACTCCTCTCCCTGGCATCCAGCAGACACCGGTACGTGAACCATTGTGTAGAATTCACCTGACCTCCCATGATCGCTTATAATACATATGTTAGAACTTTTGAAAGCTCCAAAAATTGTGAGTTTTTGAGGACGAATCCAAACAGCGTAGTAGAAAGCGCTGGTCGACGCGAAGTGTGATGAGAGAATGCAAAAGGCACAAGAAAATGGAGTTGTTCTCTATGTTCACTGATGAGTGTGTGAGTGTGAAAACTGCATGATCAGCTACACTGTCTTTCAGAATGATTCTGGGAAAACACATCCTTGTTGAATAATAAATGCCTGTTTTCTCGCTCTTTTTTACAGTTCTGTGATATGTCGTCACTGAACTGAAAATTTATAAATCATGTATCAGCACTGCTGAAGCACTTAATAGTATGTTCCTGTGATAATCCTATGTTAAAATCATGTATGTATTTCTCAATTTTACGAAATTTGTATGGCAAAATTGCTACCAATCAAAATCTACCAGCTAAAATATACTCTCGACCTCTAACATAATAATTGAGGAATATTTCTCGCAATTCTTAGTTCGTTATATATTTTCAATTTACGTTTTATTTAAACCGAATCCGCCGTCAGGCTGATATAGTGCCCAATGTAGCACCAACCCCTGTCCAGTCCATGGTGAAACAGGAATGTGTTAGTAGCGGTAGTGGAGAGGGGAGCACTGGAACCCCCGGGCGCAAGCGCAGAACTTGGGGTGCGCCTGACCAAAACCCGCTCTTCACAACACCCAACGTCATGACCAGGTTGGCTCTTGTCTCTTGTTAAAACCCTTTCAATTTGACCCAGACCACATATCAACGTTGCCAACTATGTTTTCACTTATTTGTTAAACTTGCCGAAATAGCTAGTAACACAATGATATCAGGGCCATGATGAAGAAGATAGGAGAAGAGAGTAGTTGCCAGCAGACCTTTATGGAATGTCACACTGTAGCGCAGACCTTCATGGAATGTCACACGATAAACCCAGTAGACAGCATGTTAGAGAACGCCTCCCCACCCCGGGATAGGGAGTGCGATAATCCGCTCAGTCCTGGACCCACCCCTTTCACCCCTCCTAATATAACCCTGGCGGAGAAGAAGCCAGCTCAGGGCGCTGCCCGACCTGTCCCCAACTTAAACATTACTCCTGAGGATATCGGCAGGACTTCAGGTCCTCTCACTGCAACTCCTCTTCACCCGGTAAGATTTAATGTGATATTGGCTTTGGGAGCTGAGGGCACTTTAATAAAATATAATATTAGATTATTAGGATTTAATTTACGGCCCAAATGTTCGTGGTTCTTATCATCCTTTTAGAATTAAATCAATTTCTTTCTTGCCTTGCCTTGTGTCATGACAATTAACACAATACAATATGCAGATTTAATATTATAACATAATTTTTTGCGCAGTCGATGGTATTGATAATGGAGAGAAAGGACGATAATCTGCCCTGTTTTGACACCAGTATTATACCACACCCCTCACCTGCAAAGACGGATCATTCTCAGGATAGGAAGGTAGTTAAAAGCATTGTAAATTTTGTATCGAAGTAAACGTGAAATGCAAAAACGGACGATATTTCATCCAATTTGTGCTTTTGGTCCAAGAATTGCTGATCATTTGGTAGCAATGTTATTATGATAATGATGTATTATCATTATTTATCAAGATCATTTTCAGAAGTCCGAAGCGTTTGTTATTCCTGCAATAGAAACAACCAGCTCAACAGTAAATCTGAGCGATGAAGAAGTTGTTGTTTCAACACCATTAACTAGGTCTGGTGGGAAGGGATCAGCGGAGTTGAGGAAAAAACCAGCAATCCTTAAACCAGCCCTCAAAAGAGCAGCTAAAACAAAAGCTGGTCCGGTGATAATCAAGACACGTGAAACTCGCCCAAAAACAGCTCCAGGACTGGCTAGACGTGAAGGTCTGAGAAAGAACATGACCCAAGACAATGCTAGAGTATCAAGAGAGCCAACAAGACACCCAGCTAAGAGGAGGTCTGTAAGTGCGGGCAGGGTCGAGTCTACACCCAAGGCTGCTTACGATGTGAACGTTAGGCCTCCTAAACGAAAAGGTACGGCCTTGACATGTTCAGTTGAACACAGTTGAATGGGTAACAGGGTAATCAATAAGTCAAGAGGGTCAAAGTTAGAGTTTTTTATCATTCCGAGAAAGTTTCTTAACTTAAGTGTGGACCCTTCAAACTTTAGATTGCCTATTATTATATGTGTTCTTAACTGTTTTGAATAAAATACACAAGTAGCTCCTTCCCATTCCCTTCCTTGAGTCACTTCTCCCCTTCTAAATCAGTAACCCGCAGATCTAGTAACCCCGACCATGGGGCCGCCCCGATCTCCTGGAAAGCGACCACGCCCCCTCCAGCGTGTGGTATCTGTTGATGAGAGCTACAGGGAGAAACGGCACAGAAGCTGTGATGTTGCGCTGGCTCCTAAAACTCCAGGTAAACGCGAAATTAACACCTTTTTAAAGCTAAAATGTCGCTTCATTCATTCTACTGGACAGCTTATAAAATGTTCTAATATTTTCTAATTTATCTCACAGATAGTTGTATACTAACATCAAATTATTCACAATCATTGAAACCAAGGTATTTCAGGAAATAGAGTATCTGTAAGAAGGAGCATGGCTCCTGCAACTGGAAAACGGGTCAAGATGAGCAATAGCAGACAGAGTGCTGGTAATTATCAAATTATCTATTTCAATTTTGAACACCTTGACATAAGAGAAGTATTATTCATGCAAAGATTGTATTTAATTATTTATCTTGATCTAGGTGCTGACTGCTGATATATAAAATATTTGCATTTCAGCGATGCCTCGTCATCCCTTGGCGTTATCCTCTGCTAAGAACATATACTTTGACGAGAAGTGGAAGATGAAGCAAGAGCGTGCATTTACAGTGTGGATGAATTTCTACTTAGCTCCCCCTCAAGGGAATATCCCACCAGAGTACCAAAACACCAGAGAAATTACGAAGAATGCAGCTCGCAAGGCTAGGAAATCTAGTGAGTAGTGTCTTAATATAACGGACGGGTGTGGATTTTCTATTTGACAGAGTTGGGTACTCGGATGTGATCAGTGTCAGGGTACATTCCAATGATTATAACGAAAACAAAGTAAATTTTTTCCACACAATAAACTTTTGCCCAATAATAACAAAGCAAGAATAAAACAGCTACAAAACAACATCAAGACAGTTGATTAACTCTACTTCCAGTTCCGGTTCCTTGGCTGGATACAGCCTGTACACTTCGGCAAAATATCCTAGAAAAAATAAACTGCCTGAACCGTCTGTTCGTCAAAACGTATATAACAGGATTTATAATAACATTGAGACTCAAGAAGTAAACCATCATGAGATCAAACCAGGGTGCTTGTTGGGTCTCAAAGGTGTGCAGGAACCCTAGCACCAGATTCACAATAACACAAACATACGAGCCCAGGAAAACCCAAACTACGGCAGATAGAGTTAGGAACATTCTCTTCATTGCCGAACTACCATTCTTTATCGTGTTACACTTGACGTAGATAGCAATAGATATGTTGATAACTGTGGTCAGTAACATTGGAACAGCTATAAACACGATTGTATAGTACGAGACAAACACCTGCTTGTGATCTGGCACTATCCCAATGGAGGGCCAGCAGAGCATGTCTTTGGGGTTGAAGTAAGCGTAACAACCGGAGATTATGAGGTAGCCACTGCAGCCGCAGGAGATTAGGATCTGGAGTAGGGTTATGACCCGTACTCGGCAGGTCAGGGTTGAGGAGTTGCAGGAGTTTCCTGTCCGTCTGATTGCCCAGATCCTGTACACTGTAATATTATGTAGTTTGGTTATTAAAGTTTTGCAGTTATTAGCTTCTTGCCTATTAAGATATCAGAAAATAAAAGCAGTGGAAGAACTGCTCTTTCAAAAGCAGCAATTCTAAGCAATATCAGAGCTACTCTCGTGTTTCCGCTCAAATCAACTGCCACCAAACAACAATAATCACACAACTAAAGAAGTATAGTACAAGTATAGTAACCTGATATAGAGAGAATAGTAAGGACCTCGTTAACAATAGGAGGAGACAAGAGGAAGGCCACCAGATAGCACACCCCAGGCCCCAACACCCACCTCCTCCAGACCAGGGTTACCAACATGGGCAGGAACATGAAGATGGTCACCAAAATGTCGCTCACCGCCAGGGTGTGGACAAACATCAGTGATACTGGGTCCAACTTGATGGCGTTGAAGAGCAGGGAGCTGTAGAGGACGGTGATGTTTCCTAGGATCCCGACCAGGACCACCACCACGTTGTAAAGGATCAGGATAACTTGGGTGATGGGGGTCAGGGAGGTGAGCGGCAGGATGTCTGATATCTCTGTGATGTTCCTTGAGTCTACTTCAAACATTGTCTAATTGTAGAGCTCTTGGTTAGATCAAATTATTTGAAATCAGTCATTTTGACTTCAGACTTTAAAATGTTATCGAATGAACTGAGATTAAAGCAATGATGATTTAAGAAATGAATTATTGTATAGAAGGGCTTAGCCGTTGAACTAATGCTCCTAAGAGGAAAACGGTGTAGTTTCAGTTGCTGTAAAGCTGAAAGGGGTGGTGGACCTAATGACTTAGTAACTCCTGAAAGTCAGAGCTGGCAATCAAATTAGCTTATTGTTTGTGGCATCCTCTTCAAACGTCCACATAACATGATGATTTGTGTTCCACCAATACGTAAATGAGGGTGAATGTTTAGCGGATGATACTTTGCACGTGTCAAATTGGATGAGCTACCGCAACGAGTATCCTTTATTCGAACAAACTGCCGAAATTTTCGAAGCAATGAAATTAAATGGAAATGTCTGGCGCTAATCGTATTGAGGACTAAATAACGTGAATTAAAATATCCGATAAAACTTTAAATTGTTACGTCAATCATGAAGTTCATCGTATCAACCATGCTCATATAACCGAAGAACTGCTGTTTCATAGATTTGTTGCAGCAACACCAGTGCAGATATCGCCCGTTTTTATTTGAGAAACGTGCCGGAACTTTAAATACCAATAAATTAAAAGGTCAGTTGTCAGATTATTCTGAGAATCTGGGATGTTTGGAAGTAAATCATTTACGCGAATGCGAGAAATCATTATATTCCGCCAGTCTCAGTTAAACAACAAGGGTGGGGATAAATTTGAGATCCTTCCACTGGGCACGGTTGGTTCGTTCATGGATACCGTTTAAGAATGAAATAAACCCGTTTTTATTTAATTTTAAAAACTAACAGTAACAGCAACCACGGTAAAAAAGCCGGTATTTCAGTCATGATTATTGAAAATGTGGAGACTTTTACATATAATATTATTTATTGGGGCGCTATAAATCTAACAGATATTTTATAGGCTGTGATTAGTGCGTTTCCACAACTCTCCAGATATTTAAGAATCAGACACAGATTTCCTTGCAATTTCCGGCATGCTTTGCAGCGGTTTTCGAGATCTTAGTTATTATTATTAACAATTAAAGATGAACTGAACAAGATTAAAGATAAGAGATATATCTGCGTGCAATAAATGTTATGACAATTATTTAGGTACAGATCACTATACACTACACTGTACATGAGTACAGTACTGTATTAATCATTTTGTCTACAAACCTGTTTAATAATGATAAAAATACCTACTTCTGGCACAATATTATCTCCTCTACTTGATTTAATAAAGATAAGAATGCAAATTGCAAACCCTCGTCGTATGGTACCAGATTGGTCAAGTATCGGTAGAAAGGTGATTTGTGGTAGGATAGTAATGCTGGGTGCAGATGGTCAATTATAAGGATTGTTATTGTACATATTATTATTGGAATAAATGAGCAATAACATGTTCGGCAACCACTAAAATATCGATTTTACCTTCAGAAGCCCAAAGAAAATAATTGAGCTGGGTGTTAAAACGGTAACAAAAGCTAGCTTTACTGAAAATGAACTGCTAATGAACTGCTATGCCAGGAATTTAGAAATTGATCTGAAATAACCTGGTCTGAAATAATCCTTTTACCTGTGCGGAGTCGTTATATATGGTGCTAATTAAGGTATCGAATAACTATAAATTAGTCCCACCGGCCAGCTGAATGCATTTCGTGTATAACTTCTTTTTCTGAAACTAGCGCCCCGCATTTTGACGAATTATCAGATAAAAACTTTTCCATTTAATTGGAGTTGAAAGACAAAGACTAACGCAATGGAAGCTGTCAAGTTGGGTTTATGTGTATCCAGCGTCGGGCAGGCTCATACTTAATTAACATGTTCTTGAAATATTCTACTAACCATGCATTTCAGTGGCTCCTCCTGACAACGCTACTATTCTGGCGAGGTTACAAGCTGAGAGGAAACTGTTACACGCTGAACGTCGTGCTAGCGCCATGTTTCAGGTCGGGGTCGTTACAGTTTAACTTTTCCCTGTTTTTCCTGTAACATGACATAAAATAACGATCACTATCTTTTGTAAAAATATTTCTCATCAGTCATCAACAACCCGGTTTTGATAGATATATCTTTCAGTCGCCAAAAATGGTGGAAGTGCTGCTGAAATTGGAGAAAGAGATAAACGAGGGTGGTCTTACAATCAGACACGATCGAAAACTGGACGCAGATCTGGGTTAGTGACTGATTATAGTCTCCGTTATGATCGATTATACTATAATTTGAATCTTACAAACCTGCTTTGCTCCTTTGATGTTTGAGGTCAGATCTTGATTTGTTTGCTAAATCTGGGCAGTGGTGTCTTTAGGGTAGGTATGATATTCTTAATGGAGTATCTGAAAATTGAAATGGCAATTCTTTGGAATTGTCGACAAAGCTTTTAGTTCTTAAATTAAGCCGGCTATTTTTAACAGACCACATACATTTTATCAGTAAAATAAATCAGTAAAAAGAGCTTGTTTTTCCATAGAGTCACACCGAATAAAACTTTTGTTAAAAGGCAATTCACGCGTAAAGTCCGAACTCCGTTTTTGAATTTTAAAATTCATATCCTATATTTTCGCAGGTTTGAAAGATCAGCTGATAGATTTGCTGCTGTGCTATAATCCAGTATGGTTGAGACTGGGTCTTGAAGTGCTGTACGAGGAAATACTGCCTCTCTCCGAACACCGGGTAGGTTTACTGAGTTCATGACAGGGGGAGGGGGGGGGGGGTCTCAGTATTCTGGCACTTCCTCTAGCACTTCCTCTCCAATGATACTAATAGGGGGGGACACCAGTATTATGGCACTTCCTCTAGCACTTCCTCTCCAATCATACTAATAGTATGGTGGAAACTTTTACCTCTGGCAGTCCAATTACCTGGCGGAAATGTATTACCTTGTAATTTAGGGGTTTAAATTAGTTCGGAAGTTTGGTTTCAATATTGCGGAAGTAAAACTTTAATATGCGACGGTTATCAAGCTATGAATTTTATTCAACCGATCCTGTAGATGATCCTGTTTAATTATATAATAACCACCCAGGATTTGCCAGGATTGGTATCGTTCCTGAACTCTAGGTTTGTGAACAACCCGGTAATAGCTCTCCAGTACGCTCATTCTACAGTCCCCGGCTCCTATGGTGCAGGTTACGAAGGGGAGCTCAGAAGATTTACTCTTAAAAAGGTAAATTCGGAATATTATGTGAAGTCGTTACTTACGTATTTAAAGTCACTATTGTACGTCATTAGAACTATGTATGTTCATCGGCAAGTTAATAAAATAATTAATGATGAAGCATTGTAAAAATAAGAAGTGTAATCTCGATTTGCCTAACCTTAAATCGCACAAACGTCAAACGTACATAGTTAAGATAGCACGAATCTGATGTCACACGTTTTGAGTGCGCAGGAAATTACATGAAAATAGTGACGCACCACTTTCATGTAATATGTTACGGACCCAAAACATTAGTCAACATAAGTTACAGGCTTCAGCAGAGCCATATCCAGTTGCAATGGATAAACAATAAGTTGTAGAATAAAGAATATAAAGTCGTTCGTATTGGTTAAACCTTTTGTGGTATGTGATAGACAATTATTATTTATCGTGGCCACTTGGGACGCTTTTATGGAGAACATGATAACTAACAACTCGTTGGTAGAAATTTGGCTTTTGTAAAAACGAGGGATAATTTACTCCAGCTCTGAGCTCAAAGTCTGTTTTTTACAAACGACGAATGTGACTAAAAGTTTGATAATGGTGTAATAGTTCAGAATCACCATCTGTAAAGATTCTCCCAAAACCCTGACTCTTCATCTTATCTATCTTAACTCCAACCCACAATTTGTATTGGATTATGTTTAAGAAATCCCACTATTGTATCTCTCCCAATACTTCCTCAAACTATGACCCACCATTTTCCCAGTTTCTAATGTTGGTACTCCTGCTGGACATGGCAAAGACAAACCGTGTCATAGACTGCGATCCTTGTCTCTTTTGTCTGAAATCTCCTTACAAGACCAGCCGATCTATTCTCATTTCCTTCTCAAATGCCTATCTTGGTGGAGAAGGAGACATCACCAAACATCTCGGTTACATCGGGTAAGTGCCCCTTCCCACCGCCCTTCATTTACATGCAATTTTGTATTAATTTTATGAGTTGCATAACCTAGTCCTCTCTGATGAAGAATTTATACTCATTGCTCAATTAAATTGTTCGCCTCTAAGAATCATACATTTGTTCAGGTACACAGTAAAGCACGAACAGAAGCATATAGAAGAGTTCGACTACCTCGTAAAGCGAATAGAATCGGAGCTGCGGGACGGTATCCGCTTGACACGTCTTGTGGAGATTATAACAGAGACCAGTCTGACTGACAAGCTGAGAACTCCTGCCGTCAGTAGACTTCAGAAGATGCATAACGTGGGGCTGGTGCTGACTCAGCTTCAGGAGGAGGGCGTCAAGTTGGACAACGTTCCTGGGGGACCCATTGTTACTAAGAGTGTTGTGGATGGTAACCAGAACCTCACCCTGGCCCTGATCTGGGGAATCATTTATCAATATTCCATCACCAAGATATTGGCGATTGATCAGCTGAAAGCAGAGGTTAAGATCTTGAGAGAAATACTCTCAAGGAGGAAGCAACACAACCCGTCTGCTGAAGAGAAGGATGATGACTATGTTCTGGGTCTGCCTGGACGAAGACTATCCGTGGATGAGCGAAGTTTCTTTAACAGTGAAGTACTAGCCACACTTCTGGATTGGTGTAAGATAGTGTGCAGTTATTACGATGTTCCTGTAGACAACTTCACAGTTTCCTTCTCAGACGGCAGGGTCCTGTGTCTCCTGGTTCATCACTACCACCCTGAGCTCCTCCCTCTCTCCCGGATCCGCATGCAGACCTCCCTCTCACACCAGCTAATGGAGCTAAACGCATCACGGGACTTTCTGTCCGACTCTCGCCTGGATCCCGACCTTTACAGGGATAATGAGAAGGAGAACTTTAGGGCTCTAGCTGATGCAATGAAGGGTCTGAACGAAGTTCCGTACATGATAACCCCAGGAGATATGCTGGGTACAATTCCTGATGAGAAAGTGGTAGTCACGTTCGTATCTTATCTATGTGCCGCTCTGGTGGACATCTCGCAAGATTTCCGTGCTGCTCAGAAGATACAGCGAGCCTGGAGACGCCACAATTTCTTCGAAGTCTACGAGGAGATGAAAGAGAGGCGTCGAGCGATCATTAAGGTGCAGGCCTTGGCAAGAGCTCTAATGGCAAGACGGCAGCTTGAGGAACTGAAGCTAAACAGAGAAGCTATCATCGCTAAAAGGAAAGAATATGCTGCTTCGAGGATCCAGTTGAAATGGAGGACCTATACCGCTACAAAGGATATAAGAGCGGACTTTATAAAGAAGCGTGGAGCTGCCAAAACTATACAGAAATTCTACAAGGCAATACTAGAAGAACGTTGGAGAGATAGAATAGGAGCAGCTAAGCTCATTCAGAAGACATGGAGATGTCATCGAGACAGGAGCAAGTATTTGCGTGTACAACAGTCGACCGTAAAGATACAGTCTGCTGTCAGAATGTATATATGCCGAAGTGACTTCATCCGTCGTAAATCAGCAGTCGAATGTATCTCAAATGTGTGGAGATCGTACACTGCGATGAACAAGAATAGACATGATTTCCTAAACAAACGATCAGCAGCTGTTTGTGTACAGAAATATCTGAGAGGTTATCTCGCCAGAAAGAACGCTGGAAAGATAAGATCTGCTATCAAGATACAAGGACTTTATCGTGGATTCAAAGCTCGAAAAGATGTTCAACTGATGAAGAGCCAGCGAGAGTTGATTCAAACGCAGATCAAATCATCCATAATGATACAGTCAGCCATCAGAGGATTCCTTGCCAGACGAGATTCGAGGAAAATATCAGAAGCTGTTGTAAAGATCCAGCAGCACTACAGATCATATCTGATAACTAGATACCATCGACAGAACTTCCTACTCATGAGACAGTATACTGTGTTTATACAGAGCCGATTCCGAGGTTACTTGGCAAGAAAAGAGTTGTCTCTTCAACAAGAAGCAGCAACCAAAATTCAAGCTGCTTTTAGAGGCTGCTTAGCGAGATCCCACATTCAGCTTCAGCATCGCTCTGCTGCTTTAATTCAACGAGCTTTCAAAGGTTTCCTCCAAATGAAATCAGATCGAGCTTTGTTCGAAGAAATAAGGACAGCCGCAGTTAAAATACAGGCTACATGGAGGATGTGCAGTCAAAAACGCAAGTACAGGGATATAAAAAAGACAACAGTGCAGATACAAGCTTGGTATAGAATGCACAGACAAGCACAAGCGTACAAGCATCAAAGACAAAGTTGCATCAAAATTCAGTGCGGATGGAGAGGTTACCTCCAAATGAAATCAGATCGAGCATTCTTCGAAGGAAAAAGGGCAGCCGCTGTCAAAATTCAGTCGTATTGGAGGATGGTTCAAGTCATGAGAATAGTTTCCGAACAGTGCCAAGCAGCGACACAAATCCAGTCTAGTTGGAGGATGTACAGTAATCGTTCAGCATACCTGCAGCAGAAATACGCTGCCGTCAGGATCCAGCGAGCGTGGAGAAGTGTTGTGGTGAGGGACCAGATACGGGACCAGAAAGTAAGAGTGTTGAGAACATTGCTCATGATACAGTCTCATTACAGGGGCCTAGCTCTGAGATCAGGTGTGGCCAAGCAGCAGAGATGTGCCGTGAAACTACAGTCATTTTACCGAGGATATCGGGCAAGGCAGGAGATAGCACGCCAGCATGAGAGTGCTGGTTTGATACAGGCTTGTTATCGAGGTTATAAAGACATGAAGTTCCTCAGAGCCCGGTTCATTACCATTAAACTGAGTGCTATTGTGATCCAATCTCACGTCAGATCATATCTCGTTAGACGGGATATTTCACGAGCTACTGAAGCTGCTGTTGCTGTTCAGGCTCACTACCGAGGATATTGTGTCAGGAAATCGTATCTTAAACAAAGAAACGCGGCATGTCTCATCCAGGAGCATACTAGAGCGTGGATAGAGGGTCGGAGACGGTTGGAAAACTATCAACAAATCCGCCGAGCGACTATCTTGATGCAGGCATGTTACCGGGGGGCGTGCACACGCAGACATCTCTACAAACAGATCGTGATCGCTACCAAAATTCAGGCAACTTGGCGTATGTACGTCACGAGAACAAGTTATCTCACACAAAAACACGCAGCCGTTAAAATACAGTCCACATGGAGAATGTACAGCCAGAAACACAAGTTTAGCTATTTAATAGAGAAAACAGTGCAGATACAAGCTTGGTATAGAATGCACAGACAAGCACAAGCGTACAAGCACCAAAGACAAAGTTGCATTAAAATCCAATGTAGTTGGAAAGGTTATCTGGCCAGAAAACGGTATCAGAGTACAAGGAATGCGGTTATAAGGATTCAAGCTGCGGTGAGGGGACTCAGTGCTCGGAGAATCTTGTCGGGTCTTCAAAGTCTTGAAGTTTTGAGACGTCGCCTTCTTGACCATAATCTCTCCATAGCACAGGTTAGTTTTTATTGGTTTTATTTGTTATAGGAATTAAATGAAATGGGTAAAAGAAATGGGAAAAATGAAACAAATGTTGTCAACGTTAGAGAGATATCAAGAACAGCGTCTACAATACTGTAAAAATAAGAACTTCCGATAATCTCTTATACTGCGTATAATTATAAAAAGGATTGATCACATGACTCATAACTTTATCACGTGATGCGAGCGTTGAAATAATAAATGCCTTGCGAGTACAACCTGTACGACAATATTAGGTTACAGCTTTAACACGGTCAATCGTTAAGTAAATTTAAGGAAAGATAAATAACAATTAGCAAATGTGAGAAATGAGGTAAGAATAATATGTAAACCAAACTGTCAAAAGACGTCATAATAATGTAAGCTGTGACAATAAAGATATGTATAATATATGTATTGCGGTACAAAAGAACATCATATTTAATATTAAAGTTAAAACCCAGTTATATAAAGGTGAAGTGATTTTGTAAAACACTAATGACAGATTGAAGATATCTGAAGCCTCAACATTAATAAAGCGAACGCTTTTGAATTCCAACAAGTTATCAGTGCAGCTATTTTAATTAAAATACCGAATTTAGTTAAGTATTTCGGCATATATGTGTAACACAGGTTTTGATTAAAACTCCCGAGTCCAGACGGCTGGAAATTAATAAAATCTTTTAAATCTGACCCACCTGGCATTTTAAATCTTATCCCCCATCTGGCTTTAGCATCGTACTGTTTTTAGCTGGTTTTTTACCTGGCAATGGAATTTTAATACAGTGGATTTACAACTTGTAGTAGGATTAGAATTAGGGATTTTAATTTAAATGTACTTCGCGATATGTAGGCAGTTATTTTTTACTTTAACAGTCACAGAGTCTTCAGAGTTGTACCCCACTCAAATATATTACTGATCTACCATCTGATCATGCCTATTCTCACAGGTTAGAGATTTAGACAGAAAGCTATCTGAAATACTAGGGAGTTGAGGGAACACGTGTTAACAGTGCTGGGGACACAAGATAAAGATTCAGATCACGTCAGCTCGACTTGAAGCAACAGAATACAGATGTTCACTGTTCAGTAACGCACCAGTCGACCGGTCTACATTCTACAATCAGGAGGCTGCATCTTTAAAATACTGAAATATGTTTTTGTATTGGACTTTAAGACTCTTATAATATAATAAATTTGTTTAACATTTGTTCGCTTGGATCTCGTAGAAATAGAAAATATTTAGTCTTAGCGAATTCTTCTTGCTTTGACAGTGATAAAAATCTCTAATATAATAATATGGTTAATATTGCCCACGACTAATAATTACGTTTTCTTTATTTGTAACCATACTTTATCGTTATGGTTTGTACTACGTAACATTCTGGAATTCACATTTTTTCGATTGAATATTAATAGGGTGACTGATCATTCTGAATAAGAAAACATTTTGATGTTAAGATATTACAAGTTTTAGAATCACTTGTAATTTAACATTTTTTATTTTATTCAAAGATAGGTTAACACATAGCTCTTCTTAAATGACTATTTCGCTGTTAATTCATTATTCATAATCATTGTGTAATCAATAATGAATACATTTAACATTGTTTATTGTACAAAATATTAGCTCGATAATTAATATCAATAGTTTTTAATTTGCCTAATAAATCAATCAATCAATAATTTATTACCTTTTCAATTTAGTAATGAATGAATTTAGACTGAAAGGCGTGTAATTATATATTGACATAGGAACTACAAGAAATTAAAACTTTCTAGGGTCAAAGTAACGACAGTAATTATTCTGATAATATCATGGTAGCCATTCCGTTACAGTAGACCCTCAACTCCCAAATCGTGCAATAATACTTTGTAATAAACCAAGCTTTTAGCAAATCTATTCTAAAAGTAATAATGATATCTGCACTGATAATTTCGCTTTAATTCACCCACTATTCGAGGTTTACTGTTAAAGAAATACCTGGAAAGTAGATACGCTATTTATTCCCCACCCAATTATCGGGTAAGAAAAACTTGGCACACTTATTTTTAATAATCTATTGACTTCGTAACTCCTCACAGGATCTTTCGTTATTCATGGAGGTCCTTGATCTTCATTCTTCATATTGGATTTGCATCTTGTTATTTATTTTTCTTATAACAGTCATACAAATTTAAAAACACCATCCGCCCGAGTAAATTGGCACTTTTATAATTCGCTCTTTTCTCTAATAGTAATACCGATTGCTGGTTTTATCGAATAATATGTGCATAATTGGAACTGCCATGCCACAAAGTTATAACAGTAAACGCTACAGTCTATACATATTACATACACGTCAACTCTATTTCGTAATAATTACACCATCATTCAGAATGACATAATGTGGACATGAAATCGTGGGGGAGTTCATCAAACAAGATTTATCAGACACCTTTCAATCAAGCACAATCCTAATTACAAATTATGCGTCCAAGTTTGAGGATGGTTCAAAATATCACCTTGACCTCGAGACAAAGTCCGAAGATTCAACTGCCGAACATTTTCAACTAGGGAATGGAGATTGGAGCTGCAGAATTATTTTTTAAACAGTGAAGGTACTAAAATTGAAGTATTGACTGCAGAAGATACAGCGGAATTTTGTGATACGACAGCGAAAAATGAACCTCTTGGGCCTTGGCGGTCAAACTCAAGCATGGCAATGTAATGGAAATCCAACCAGTCAACCCAGCTCATCTCTTTCTGATGGACAATCTGTCCCTGATCCCCTGCGAAGACCAACCTTCATTAGAGTAAATACTCAGTTGGACAAATAGCACTGGTACATGAGTACATCTTACCACTCATAAACGAACTTACACAGTAAAAAAATCTTAGCCCTGCATGTGCAGTGTTTGTGACCATAGGGCTATCAAACCAAGCGATTTTGATACTCACACTAGAGAGAAACCTCACAAGTGTGATCTGGGGTGGTTCACATATTGCGTAATCATTTTTTGGAACATTTTTACCCCTCCTCCGTTATCAGTTTTACACATAACTACTGTGTCAAAATTACACTAGCGTAATCATTCGGAAACCCCCCCCCCCTCAGCTGATTACGTAATAACGACCCCATATTTGTAGCTTTTCTGTTGCAACTAAAAGTAATTTGGTGACTCACAAACGAAGTCACATCGGAGAAAAGCCTTACCCCGTAGTTTGTGTAACTAGTACTACAGGGCAAGCCAATCAAGCTCATTGAAGAGACATATGTTTACTCACACTGGTAAGAAACCTTACCCCTGTAGTAGTGTGACTTTGAAACTAACAGATCAGGCGATTTGAAAAGATATATGTTGAATCATACTTGAGAAAAACCTTACCCTTCAGTAGCTTGTGTAACTATAGAGCTAGCCAATCGGACTATTTAAAGAAATATATGTTGACTCATACTGGAGAGAATCCTGACAAGTGTGATATTTGTAACCACTCTGCTGCATTTAAAAGCAATCTGGTGATTCACAAACGAACTCACACTGGATAGAAAGCGAACTCCTTCAGAATTAGAAACGAAACGTGTTTACTTATACTGGAGAAAATTACTACGACAACAATTCGAATGAAATCTCAGCTTTACCGACAAGGTAGCCCGATCAGATTTGTGACCACATTGATGCGAAATGTAGTTTGCCCATATTAGAGAAAACCAAGGATGATTTAATTGAATATGTTAAAAATAGCCAGCAAATCCAGAACATCCCCGAAAATGATGAAAATCTCGTGTAAAATTTCAGTTAGTACACTGTAAGTTATTGATAATCGAAAGAATACTAACGAGCTTAATTTCTAATGGATTTTATTTTAACTGTTTAGCAGGCATTTCATCTACAAAATATTATTCCTGTACCTTATATTTTTCTTGTTTAAAAAATCAAATTTTGAAAGTCGTACAAATCTGTTGATATAATAACTTTATCAATTTTACCACCATTTGTTTCATCTGACTGTCTCTTGGGAAGATTAACATTTTTAAGCATAACAAATGCAGTTGTTTCATTCACTTACAGTTTAGACCAATTCAAATTGGTTTTGTGCAAGTTATGCCCCTTAACACCCAAGAGTATTTTAATCAATGTTATGTTTTATTTTTAGAAATGGCAGAAGAAGAACCTAAAGAGTTGCGCAAGGATAATCTTAAAATAGAGATGATAGAGATCGAACAACCTGCTGCTAGCTCATCATCTTGTGCATGTAAATTGGAGGATAGCTGCCCTGAATTTAGTAATGAGCCCTTCAAGACTGAACCTTCTACAAATGAAGATATGAAGGAAGTGCGTAATATGAATTCCTGTAGCTTAGTCATGAAAACTGAACCTATGGACTGCAAACAATTTCAATGTGATCTTTGTCAAGAGTCAGTCGATCATTCCAGTTCACTCCGTTCTGACGGGGAATGTGTTCCTGATCCTCTGAAGACCAACCCTCATTTATGTAAACATTTAGCTGGACAAAGTTTACATCTTACCACTCATAAACCAACTTATAACAGAGAAAAACCTTATCCTTGTAGCTTGTGTGACTATAGAGCTAAAAAGTCAGACCATTTGAAGAAACATATGTTATCTCACACTGGTGAGAAACCTTATCCCTGTAGTTTGTGTGACTTTAAAACTAGCAGATCAGACCATTTGAAGGTACATATGTTTGCTCACACTGGAGAGAAACCTCACAAGTGTGATATTTGTAACTATTCTGCTGCAACTAAAAGTAAACTGGTGATTCACAAACGAACTCACACTGGAGAGAAACCTTTTCCCTGTAGTTTGTGTGACTTTAAAACTAGCAGATCAGACCATTTGAAGAGACATATGTTGACGCATGGAGAGAAACCTCACAAGTGTGTTATTTGTAAATATTCTGCTGCAAGTTAATCTGGTTATTCACAAACGAAAACACACTGGAGAGAAACTTTACCAATGCAGTAAATCCATCAGTTTAAAGACAAATATGTCGACTCATAGTCAAACTGAAATACATTTTAAATGTGATTTATGCGAATATTCAGCTGTAACGAAGAGTCTTCTTGTTGCTCACAAAAAGAACCACCCAGATTTGCGACCGTTTGGCTGTGAAATTTACTGTGGCTATAAAGGCATAACCAAAAGTGATTTAATTGAACATATTCGGGAGGTGCATGGTCTAGTAGACCTCAAATGAATTTTTAGATCCAAAAAATTATATTTTACGTACAACTTTATGACTTTAAATAATTTAAATTATTAAAAGTACTGTCCATCATCTATAACATTAACTTCAAATGACATGGTATAAATGTACAGATGAAAACTGATTTATAGTCAGTAGTCAGTATAGTTACCAAATAATTTAAATTATTAAAAGTACTGCCCGATCATCTGTAACCTGAAGTGAAAATCTCACAAGTCAGAAATTATATATCGGGGTTACCCTGTTTTAGCTGTGCTCTAGCTGTGCTCTAACCGTGCGTTAACCTTGCCTTAAGCGAGCATAATGGTTGCTTATGGGCAGTTTGTGCGTTAGCCGTGCCTTAACATTGCCTCAACCGTGCCTTATGTAACCCTTGTGCCCTAACTGTGCCTTAACCGTGCGTAGCTACATTACCGAATTGCCGTAAAAATGTACAGACGAAAACTGATTTATACTTATAGTCAATAGTCAGTAGTCAGTATAGTTACTTCGGATGTCATGATCGTACTTGAAGTACATTTTAGCTTTATAATTAAATTCAAAGTTTTTTTGTTTTGTCAATGTCTCACAAATTGTCTTTTCCCAGCGCCTGTATTTATTTATTGATCGTTTTCCAGTTTCCATATTTAACTTACTAATTTACTGCGTGTTTTATATATAGATAGACCTATAATCATTTCAAAATTCGAAATTCTGAATGTGATTAAGTAATATTTGAATGTCCCCTAATATAAAGTGCCTGGCTCATTACATAATTAGTTTCAGTCCAACACTGTTATTCATATTGAGCTTCGAGCATGTTGCTCAGGCAATGAGGGGTCTTTAATACATATTGCGTGATCACTTCAATGGCAAACTTTTAACCCCCCCCCCCCTTCTCTTATCAGTTTTACTCATAAGTAATATGTTAAAATTACACGAGCATAATAATTTAGAAACCCCCTCCCTCCCCTCCCCTCAGTAATATGTGAACGACTTTATTAATATTATCATTTTATTAAAAGTGATTTAATTGAACAAACTTCCTGATATAATAAATCTTGGAATTTTACCGTGATATTTCTCATTTTACTGTCCTTGGGAAATTTAAGATTTATAAGTCTTATATACAGTCTTATATATAAGTCTTAAATAAGTCTTATACACAGATGTTAAATTTTGCTTTCGCGTGCCGTTGACACAAATTCAAATTGGCTTTGTGTAATTTATGTCCCTTAAACTCGAAAATATTTTTAAATCAATTTTATATTTAATTTTCAGAAATGGCGAAACAAGAACCTACAGAGTTGACCAGGGATAATCTAAAAACAGAGATGATAAAGATCGAGCAACCTGCTGTTAGCTCATCATCTTGTGCATGTAAATTGGAGAATGGCTGCACTGAATTTAGTAATGCTCCCTTTAAGACTGAACCTACCGAAAATGAAGATATAAAGGAATTGGGTAATATGAATTACTGTACGTCAGTCATAAAAACTGAACCTATGGACTGTAAAGAATTTCAGAAGAAGCATATGTCAACTCACACCGGAGAGAAATCTGACACTGGCAGTTTGCGTGAATTTAGGGCTAGCCAATCAAGCCAATTAAAGAAAGATATGTTGACTCATACTTTAGAGAACCCTTATCCCTGCAGTTTGTGTGACTATAAAGCCAGCCAATCAAGCGATTTGAAGATACATATGTTGACTCACACTAGATATAGAGAGAAACCTTATCCCTGCAGTTTGTGTGACTATAAAGCCAGCCAATCAAGCGATTTGAAGATACATATGTTGACACACACTGGAGAGAAACCTTATCCATGTAGTTTGTGTGACTATAGGGCTTCTCAGTCAAGCTTATTGAATAGACATATGTTGACGCACACTGGAGAGAAACCTTACCCCTGCAGTTTGTGTGACTATAGGGCCAACAGATCAGGTCTTTTGAAGTCACATATGTTTACTCACACTGGTGAGAAACCGCACAAGTGTGATATTTGTAACTACTCTGCTGCAAGAAAAAGTTATCTGGTGATTCACAAACGAACTCACACTGGCGAGGAACCTTACCCATGTAACTTGTGTGACTATAGAGCTAGCCAATCAAGCCAATTTAAGAAACATATGTTGACTCATACTGGAGAAAAACCTTATAAATGTGATTTTTGTTCTTACTCTGCTGCAAGTAAAAGTAAACTGGTGATTCACAAACGAACTCACACTGGAGAGAAACCTTACCCCTGTAGTTTGTGTGACTATTGGGCTAGACAACAAAGCCAATTAAAGAAACATATGATGACTCATACTGGAGAGAAACCTTATAAATGTGATATTTGTTCCTACTCTGCAAGACAAAATTCCCACCTCACTGAACACAAACGAACTCACACTGGTGAGAAACCTTATCCCTGCAGTTTGTGTGACTATAGGGCCAAAAAATCAAGCGATTTGAACAGACATATGCTGATTCATACTAGATATAAACCCTTTAGAATTTGAATGAGAACGGTCAATTAAATTTTGTTCCCACGTCTTGTCTTACCCTGCAGTTCCACGGCTCAGTTTTGCAACCAGATTTGCTCACATTTTTTCTTACATTTTTCTGACCGGAAATGAAATTCAAAAATATTTCTCCGCATTTCATTATAATGCGCCCACGTGCGCGCGCAAATCTGCGTTCAAAACCAACCGTGGGAACGTACATTGTAAACAAAACTGCCTTCGCGGAGTTTTGCCTTTCAAAACTCTTTTCTCGGAGTTTTGTGTCAAATCTGGTCGCAAAACTGAGCAGTGGAAATGGGCTGTAACAGCCCAGTTCCACGGCTCAGTTTTGCGACCAGATTTGACACAAAACTGCAGAACAATATCACGATTACGATTCCAATGAACTCCAAGCTTTACCGAAAAGTGGTCATCTTGCTCACCACAGCCTCACACGGTAGCCCGATCAAATTTGTGACCTTATTGTTGTGAACTTTATTGTGACTATATAAGAGAAAACCAAGAGTGGTTTGATTTTATTGAATATGAACTATGTAGGGAAAGTTGAGAGCAAAATGTGAAATATCTGCTAGTTAGCAATATTGATAGCAGCAATTTGGTCTAAAATATTTTATTCTCGTATGTTATCTTTTTCTTAAGTTTATTTTTAATCGAATTCTGAAAGTCATACAAATATCTTGATATAATAAATTTATCAATTTTGCCATTTGTTTCATCTAGCTGTTTCTTGTGAAATTAAAGATTAGTAAGCATATTACAAATGTAGTTGTTGCTTTCACTTGCAGTTTAGAAAATTTAAATTGGCTTTGTGCAAGTTATGACACTTAAAACCCAAGATTATTTTTTATCGACATTATTTTTCTCAGAAATGGCGGAACAAGAACCTGAACAGTTGAACAGGGACAATCCTAAAACATAAATGAAAGAGATCGAACAACCTGATGCTAGCTCATCATCTTGTGCATGTAAATTGGAGGATGGCTGCCCTGAATTTAGTAATGAGCCCTTCAAGACTGAACCTTCTACAGATAAAGATATAAAGGAAGTGGGTAATATGAATCCCTATAGCTTAGTCATAAAAACTGAACCTATGGACTGCAAACAATTTCAATGTGATCTTTGTCAAGAGTCAGTCGATCATTCCAGTTCACTCCGTTCTGACGGGGAATGTGTCCCTGATCCTCTGAAGACCAACCCTCATATATGTAAACATTTAGCTGGACAAAGTTTACATCTTACCACTCATAAACCAACTCATAATAGAGAAAAATCTTATCCTTGTAGCTTGTGTGACTTTAAAACTAGCAGATCAGACGTTTTGAATAGACATATGTTGACGCACACTCGAGAGAAACCTCAAAAGTGTGATATTTGTTACTACTCTGCTGCAACTAAAAGTTATCTGGTGATTCACAAACGAACTCACACTGGAGAGAAACCTTACCCCTGTAGTTTGTGTGACTATAGAGCTATACAGTCGAACCATTTGAAGAAACATATGTTAACTCACACTGGAGAGAAACCTCACAAGTGTGATATTTGTTACTACTCTGCTGCAACTAAAAGTAATCTGATGAGTCACAAACGAACACACATTGGAGAGAAGCCATATAAATGCAATATTTGTGACTATAGAGCTAAAAGATCAAGCGATTTGAAGGTACATATGTTTGCTCATACTGGAGAAAATCCTCACAAGTGTGACATCTGTAGCTATTCTGCTGAAAGTAAAAGTAAACTATTGATTCACAAACGAACACACACTGGAGAAAAACCTTACCCCTGTAGTTTGTGTGACTATAGGGCTACTCAATCAAGCTTATTGAAGAGACATATGTTGATTCACACTGGAGAAAAACCTTACCCCTGTAGTTTGTGTGACTATAGGGCTACTCAATCAAGCTTATTGAAGAAACATATGTTTACTCACACTGGAAAAAAACCTCACAAGTGTGATATCTGTAGCTACCCAGCTGCAACTAAAAGTATCCTGGTGACTCACAAACGAAAACACGATGGAGAGAAACTTTACCAATGCAGTAAATCCACCAGTTTAAAGACAAATATGTCGACTCATAGTCAAACTGAAATACATTTCAAATGTGAATTATGCGAATTTTCAGCGGAAACGGAAAGTCTTCTTGTTGCTCACAAAAAGAACCACCCAGATTTGCGACCGTTTGGCTGTGAAATTTACTGTGGCTATAGAGGCAAAACAAAAAGTGATTTAATTGACCATATTTGGGAGGTGCATGGTCGACTAGACCTCAAATGAATTGTTATCTAAAAAATTATATTTTACGTACAACTTTATGATTTTACATAATTTAAATTGTTGAAAGTGCTGCGCGATCATCTATAACATTAGTTTGGAATGACAAGGTATAACTATAAAGATGAAAATTGATCTATACTCAGTATATCATTAAATCGGATGTCATGATCGTACTTGAAGCACATTTTAGCTTTACAATTAAATCGAATGTTTCTTGTTTTATCAATATCTTCACAAATTGTCTTGTTCTTTTCCCAGTTGCTGTATTTGTTGATCGTTTCCAAGCTCCTATTATATTTTACTCACAAATGCACTGTGTGTTTACTATTATATAGCCTATAATAATTTTAAAACTCCTTATTTTTAAGGTGACTAAGTAATATTTGAACTAAATAAAGTGCCGGGCTAATAACATGATCAGTCCAACACTGTTATTGAGCTTCGACCATGTTGCTCGAGCAATTATATGTTGCTCAGGCAATTATTAGGGGTGGTTGGCATATTGTTTAATCACTTTTCAACTTTCAACCCCCCCCCCTCCTTCCGTCATTAGTTTTACTACTTTGCTATTATAGTTAAAATTACACTTTTATTTCAGATATGGCGGAACAAAAACCTAAAGAGTTGCGCAAGGATAATCATAAAACAGAGATTATTAAGATCGAGCAACCTGCTACTAGTTTATCATCTAGTGCATGTAAATTGGAGGATGGCTGCCCTGAATTTAGTAATGTTCTTTTCAAGACTGAACCAACTACAAATGAAGATATGAAGGAAATGGGTTATATGAATTACTGCAGGTCAGTCATAAAAACTGAACCTGTAGACTGTAAAGAATTTCAATGTGATCTCTGTCAAGATTCAGTCGATCAACCTAACTCATCTCTTTCTAATGTACAATCTGTCCCTGATCCTCTGAAGACCAACCCTCATAGCAATGTGGTTATCTCTCAATCTATCGGAAATACTAATCTTTCTGGGTCTGGACTCAACTTAAAGAAGCGTATGTCAAATCACACCGGAGAGAAATCTGAAACTGACAGTTTGCGTGAATATAGGGCTAACAAATCAAGCCAATTAAAGAAAGATATATTGACTCATACGGGAGAAAAACTTTATAAATGCGATATTTGTACCTACTCTGCAAGACAAAATGCCCATCTTACTGCTCATAAACGGACTCATACTGGAGAGAAACCTTATCCCTGCAGTTTGTGTGACTACAGGGCTAAAACATCAGGTGTTGTGAAGAGACATATGTTTACACACACTGGAGAGAAACCTCACATGCACAAGTGTGATATTTGTAACTACTCGGCTGTATGTAAAAGTTCTCTGTTGATTCACAAACGAACACATACTGGAGAGAAACCTCACAAGTGTGATATTTGTAACTACTCTGCTGCAACTAAAAGTACTCTGGTGCTTCACAAACGAACTCACACTGGAGAAAAACCTTACCCCTGTAGTTTGTGTGACTATAGGGCTAGACAAAAAAGATATTTGAAGGTACATATGTTTACTCACACTGGAGAGAAACCTTATAAATGTGATATTTGTTCCTACTCTGCAAGACAAAATTCCCACCTCACTGAACACAAACGAACTCACACTGGTGAGAAACCTTATCCCTGCAGTTTGTGTGACTATAGGGCCAAAAAATCAAGAGATTTGAACAGACATATGCTGACTCATACTAGATATAAACCCTTTAGAATTTGAATTAGAACGGTCAATTAAATTTTGTTCCCACGTCTTGTATTACCCTGCAGTTCCACGGCTCAGTTTTGCAACCAGATTTGCTCACATTTTTTCTCACATTTTTGCGACCGGAAACTAAATTCAAAAATATTTCTCTGCATGGAGAAATATTTTTGATATGACCCAAAACTCTGTGAAAGCAGTTTAACCTGGGCGCTCGCGTGGGAAATTTCATTATAATGCACCCACGTGCGCGCGCAAATCTGCGTGCAAATACCAACTGTGGGAACGTACATTGTAAACAAAACTGCCTTCGCGGAGTCTTGCCTTTCAAAACTCTTTTCTCGGAGTTTTGTGTCAAATCTGGTCACAAAACTGAGCAGTGTAAATGGGCTGTTACAGTCCAGTTCCACGACTCAGTTTTGCGACCAGATTTGACACAAGACTCCGCGAAAAGAGTTTTGAAAGGCAAAACTCCGCGAAGGCAGTTTTGTTTACAATGTAGGTTCCCATGCAGGTTGGTATTTGCACGCAGATTTGCGCGCGCACGTGGGTGCATTATAATGAAATTTCCCACGCGAGCGCCCAGGTTAAAACTGCTTTCACGGAGTTTTGGGTCATTTCAAAAATATTTCTCCGTGCGGAGAAATATTTTTGAATTTCATTTCCGGTCGCAAAAATGTGAGAAAAAATGTGAGCAAATCTGGTTGCAAAACTGAGCCGTGGAACTGCAGAGTAACAGCCCAGTTCCACGGCTCAGTTTTGCGACCAGATTTGACACAAAACTGCAGAACAATATCACGATTACGATTCCAATGAACTCAAAGCTTTACCGAAAAGTGGTCATCTTGCTCACCACAGCCTCACACGGTAGCCCGATCAGATTTGTGACCATTTTGTTGTGAACTTTATTGTGACTATATAAGAGAAAACCAAGAGTGGTTTGATTTGATTGAATATGAACTATGTAGGGAAAGTTGAGAGCAAAATGTGAAATATCTGCTAGTTAGCAATATTGATAGCAGCAATTTGGTCTGAAATATTTTATTCTCGTAAGTTATCTTTTTCTTAAGTTTATTTTTAATCGAATTCTGAAAGTCATACAAATATCTTGATATAATAAATTTATCAATTTTGCCATTTGTTTCATCTAGCTGTTTCTCTAGCATATTACAAATGTAGTTGTTGCTTTCACTTGCAGTTTAGAAAATTTAAATTGGCTTTGTGCAAGTTATGTCACTTAAAACCCAAGATTATTTTTTATTGACATTATTTTTCTCAGAAATGGCGGAACAAGAACCTGAAGAGTTGAAAAGGGACAATCCTAAAACAGAAATGAAAGAGATCGAACAACCTGATGCTAGCTCATCATCTTGTGCATGTAAATTGGAGGATGGCTGCCCTGAATTTAGTAATGAGCCCTTCAAGACTGAACCTTCTACAAATGAAGATATGAAGGAAATGGGTAATATGAATTCCTGTAGGTTAATCATAAAAACTGAACCTGTAGACTGTTGTCCTATGACTTTGAGCAGGTTCTAACCAATCAGACCATTGATTGAGTGAAGAAATCACAGATTAAGTGCGACTGCGAGATCATGTATCCGCCAGATTTTAAAATGGTCATAACTCGGTTTAGTTGTAAACAACAAACTTGAAATATTGGGAAAGCACTTCAATTATCAAACCACAGGTGTCTGGAAATTTTGAAGTTCCTAACTCAAAAATGTCTCACTTTATGGTGACAAAAGAGAAAAATAGGGAGTGGTGTGCCACACCCTCTGTAATCGATGAAAGTTCACGAGAATTTCTGGAAATTTAAGTTTGACCCATATCTATATTCTCTGAAATTTTTAAGAAATTCTGATACCAATTACGTGAGTTATTAAAGGGTTGCGTGTGAGTAGTTACTTTTGGGCCACCCTGTATATTAGTATTACTCCACTGTAGGCTTATTTGACGGCTACACTCTATTTATATTTTTCATAATCGCACCGGATTTTTTTCGGGTTTTCCTTCTCCGAGCTAGATGAAATTTGTGACAGGGCAGGGAGTGCGATTATAAACTAATCGCACTGTTTTGAGGACCATCGACACCATAGTGGATAGTTCAAGTTGGTGCGATTACGAAACTAATCGCACTGATGTTCTGAAAGTCTGAATATCGTGTTCTGTAATTAGCTGTTCATACCTTAACATAAGTTTACATTAGTTGTACAATCGTAATAATATTGCTCAATAATGTATCATCAATAAGCGGCCACGTGTCAATTGTGTGAGTCACAAGAACGAATAATCTTGACAGATATGGCCGAAGTTTACTGTTTGTTGCCGTGTTGTGCTGCACATTTCCCAGTTGCTGTATTTATTGATCCTTTCCCAGCTCCTATGTTTTACTCACTAATTTACAGCTTGTGTTTAATGTAGCAGTTAATACCTTATCGGACTTTTTTTGAGCGGATATTAATTGGACGCTGGAAACCCTAGCGTTCATTTTAATGTCCGTGAAGTGGACTACAAACTTTTGATATAATAAATTTTACTATTTTACTATCATAATATTTCCCATCTGACTGTGTCTTGGAAAATTTAAGATCTATAATTCTTACTTACAGATGTTAAAATTAAATGTTGCTTTCACTTGCCGTCCAGACAAATTCAAATAACTTAATAAGTTTTGTGCAAGTTATGTCACTTATTTTTAAATCAATATTATTTTATCAGAAATGGTGGAACAAGAAGAGTTGACCTGGGATGATCTTAAAATAGAGTTGATAGAGATCGAACAACCGGCTGCGAGCTCGTCATCTTGTGCATGCAAATTGGAGAATGGCTGCCCTACATTTAGTAATGTTCCCTTCAAGACCGAACCTACTACAGATGAAGATATAAAGGAAGTGGGTTATATGAATTTATGTCGTTCCATCATGAAAACTGAACCTATGGAATGTAAACAATTTCAATGCAATCTTTGTCAAGAGTCAGTAGATCATTCTAGTTCACTCCGTTCTGACGGAGAATGTGTCCCTGATCCTCTGGAGACCAACCTTCATAGTCATATATGTAAACACTCAGATGGACAAAGTGTACATCTTACCACACATAAACCATCTCATAATAGAGAAAAACCTAATCCTTGTAGCTTGTGTGACTATAGAGCTAAAAAGTCAGACCATTTAAAGAAACATGTGTTAACTCAAACTGGTGAGAAACCTTATCCCTGTAGTTTGTGTGACTTTAAAACTAGCAGATCAGACGTTTTGAAGAGACATATGTGGACGCACAGAGAGAAACCTCACAAGTGTGATATTTGTAACTACTCTGCTGCAAGTAAAAATAAACTGGTGATTCACAAACGAACCCACACTGGAGAGAAACCTCACAAGTGTGATATATGTAACTATTCTGCTGCAAGTAAAAATAATCTGGTTATTCACAAACGGACACACACTGGAGAGAAACCTTACCCCTGTAGCCTGTGTGACTTTAAAACTAAAACATCAGGCCATTTGAAGAGACATATGTTTATTCACACTGGAGAGAAAACTCACAACTGTGATATTTGTACCTACTCAGCTAAATGGAAAAGTTCTCTGGTGAGTCACAAACGAACTCACACTGGAGAGAAACCTTTTCCCTGTAGTTTGTGTGACTATAGGACCAGCAGATCAAGCGATTTGAAGAGTCATATGTTTACTCATAGTCATTTTGAATGTGATTTATGCTCATATTCAGCTGTAACGAAGAGTCTTCTTGTTGCCCACAAAAAGAACCACCCAGATTTGCGACCGTTTGGCTGTGAAATTTACTGTGGCTATACAGGCAATACCAAAAGTGATTTAATTGAACATTTTCGGCAGGTGCATGGTCTAGTAGACCTCAAATGAATTGTTAGATCCAAAGAATTATATTTTACGTACAACTTTATGACTTTACATAATTTAAATTATTAAAAGTAATGTCCATCATCTATAACATTAACTTTAAATGACATGGTATAAATGTACAGATGAAAACTGATTTATAGTCAATAGTCAGTAGTCAGTATAGTTACTTCAGATGTCATGATCGTACTTGAAGTACATTTGAGCTTTATAATTAAATTCAACGTTTTTGTTTTATCAATGTCTCACAGATTCTTTTCCAAGCGGCTGTATTTATTTATGGATCTTTTTCCAGTTTCCATATTTAACTTTCCAATTTACTGCATGTTTAATATAAATAAACCTATATAATCATTTAAAAATTCAAAATTCTGAAATTGATTAAGTAATATATCAATGTCCCCTAGTATAAAGTGCCTGGCTCATTACATAATTAGTTTCAGTCCAATTCTGTTATTTGAGAATGTTGCTCAGGCAATGAGGGGTCGTTAATATATAATTATATTGCGTAATCACTTCAATGGCAAACTTTTAACCCCTTCTTCTTCTGCTTTCAGTTTTGTCTCATAAGTAGTATGTTTAAATTACATTAGCTTAATAATTTAGGAACCCCCTCTCTTCCCTTAGTGATTAGGTAATATGTGAACGAACGACCTTTTATTAAAAGTGATTTAATTGAACATTCTTCTTGATATAATAAATCTTAGAATTTTGCCTTGATGTTTTTTCTCATCTGACTGTCCCTGGAAAATTTAAGATTTGTAAACAGTTTCTTTCTCTTGCCGTTCAAACAAATTCAATTTGGCTTTGTGTACAGCAATAGCAGCAAATCTGGGGAAACTTGGTGGACATTGACTTTTTTCACACAATTTGAGTATGTTGACTTCAACATTATGTTGCAGCTCATTGTGGTTAATCTCAATGTTGGAGTGATGTTTTTCTGGTGCACAAAACACTGCAGTACGGTTATGTTGAATAATTGAGGTTAATGAATCCTCTATGTGGCCACTATGGTGGTTAAAATACCAGTTTTAGGGTTAACCACCATTTTGAGATATGATATTATGAACTGAGTAGTCATTATATTGAGATCATATCATGGTGCAACTATCACAAAAGTTTTCAAACCTCATGGGGGGCATTTTGTGGTCCTAATGGTGGTTAAATGGAAGATGAACGGTGAGCTATAAATATTGCTCTGGTTATAGATGTATAGTGGTGGTTGTTCATTTGTGCATGGATGATAATTTTTTATCACAAATGTGCAATTTAATAGTATGATTGATTTGAGGTGGTTAATATTCGTAAAAAGTGCTAAAAAGATGGTTAAAATGTCAAAATTTGTTGTTAACCACCAATCAAAACATTATTAATGATTTTAGTCAACATTTTATGGTCAACAAAGGACATTTGAAGGGTCTTGATAAAAGTTATCAAGAAATGTTGTCATAAAAGTGGTTAAAAGGGCTATATTACTTGCTAGGCTGTTGAACAAGGCATCTATTAAAGTGAAAATTAACCACAATATGAACTTCAGATAATGGTTTGCTATCCAAATGAGTGTATATTTGTTTGCAAATGCATAATTGACCCCAAGTTCATGCATTCCGATCAATGTGCAGCTATGGTGGTTAAAATGTCTCGAAAATACCCTATATTTGCACTAATTAACCATTTTTAGAGCACATATTAGCTTTGTAAAGCTATAGCTGGCCATGCTACATTATCTAGATATAACTACCTGCTCATTTATATGACCAGAAACATTGCTGAGTCCTATGTTGCGTCCATCATGGTTAATAAAGGTCTAAAATTGACCAAAATCAGTGTTTTTGGTCGTTTTAACCACCATACGGCCACACATTTTGTTACATTATCTTTAAAATCACTTATTATCCTCCAGCTATCTCTCATAATCAAATTTCAAAACAAAATAAGGCACAAAAAGTTCGGAGGTTGCTGAATAATGGTTAATTTGTGATGGCTTCTGTTGACCGAAAGTCCAAAATAAACATGTTTTAACCACATTGAGGCCACATCTAAGGTTTTATGGTATTGGGACCATAGCCAAAAGTTTTGGGCACCTGAATGGTGACCTCTGCTTTTGAAATTATGGTGATATTTCAATGCTGTGCCATACCAGGTGGTTAAGTACGCGCACGCGCGCGCGCACGCGTACAAACATGGTTTTTTTGATATACCACAGTTGGTGGTTAACTGTTCTACATCAAACCTTCACTAAAAGTATTGGGCACCATAGTGGTGACATAATATATAAAGAATTTAAGCCTAGACTAAATATGTTGGCCTACAGATGGTTAAGTACGCGCACGCGCGCACGCGCGCGCGCACGCGTACACTATAACATAAACAAATAAACCACTCCACAGACCACATTTATTAATTTTTTTAATTTCCTTCTTCAACTATGTGTCAATGAACCATTTTTGTTCAATAATGACCATCAATATTAACTGTAGTACTTATATCTTCACTGTAGTAAGGGTTTGGGTGTTAGAGGTATAAAAAATGTCCACTAACAAATCAGTCATTTTTCGACTACTTAACCACCTAACTCAGCACCAAAATGTTCTGAGATTTTTTTCGTTGCAGTATCATGAAGCTATGACATTTTTGGACCTATGTAAATATTCAGATTACTAAAATTCATAATCTGTGATTTTTAAGGGGGGGTTAAATGCTTCAAATTGGTGTATTTCAAAGTTTCCCCAGATTTGCTGCTATTGCTGTGTAATTTATGTCCCTTAAACTTGAGAATATTTTTCAATCAATTTTATATTTTACTTTCAGAAATGGTGAAACAAGAATCTAAAGAGTTGGACAAGGACAATCTTAAATTAGAGATGAAAGAGATCTAGCAACCTGTTACTAGTTTATCATCTTGTGCATGTGAATGGGAGGATGGCTGCCCTGAATCTAGTAATCTTCCCTTCAATACTGAACCAACTACAAAATATGAAGATATGAAGGAAATGGGTTATATCAATTCCTGTAGGTTAATGATAAAAACCGAAACTGTAGACTGTAAACAATTTCAATGTGATCTTTGTCAAGAGTCAGTAGATCATTCCAGTTCACTCCGTTCTGACGGAGAATGTGTCCCTGATCCTCTGAAGACCAACCCTCATATATGTAAACACTCAGCTGGACAAAGTGAACATCTTACCACTCATAAACCAACTCATAATAGAGAAAAACCTTATCCTTGTAGCTTGTGTGACTATAGAGCTATACAGTCGGACCATTTAAAGAAACGTGTGTTAATTCACACTGGTGAGAAACCATACCCGTGTAGCCTGTGTAACTTTGAAACTAACAGATCAGGCGGTTTGAAGAAATATATGTTGATGCACACTGGAGAGAGACCTCACACGTTTGATATCTGTAGCTATTCTGCTGCAACTAAAAGTAATCTGGTGACTTACAGACGAACTCACACTGGAGAGAAACCTTACCCCTGCAGTATGTGTGACTATAGGGCCAACATATCAAGTGATTTGAACAGACATATATATCTATACTGACTCATGCTAGATATAAACCCTTTAGAATTTTAATTAGAACGGTCAATTAAATTTTGTTCCCACGTCTTGTCTTATACTGCAAAACAATATCACGATTACGTTTCCAATGAACTCCAAGCTTTACCGAAGAGTGGTCATCTTGCTCACACGGTAGCCCGATCAGATTTGTGACCACATTGTTGTGAATTGTATTGTGACTATATAAGAGAAAACCAAGAGTGATTTGATTTGATTGAATATGTACTATCATGTAGGGAAAGTTGAGGGCAAAATGTGAAATATCTGCTAGTTAACAATATTGATAGCAGCAATTTGATCTAAAATATTTTATTCTCGTAAGTTATATTTTTCTTGTTTATTTTTAATCGAATTCTGAACGTCATACAAATATCTTGATATGATGAATTTATGAATTTTGCCACCATTTGTTTCATCTAGCTGTTTCTTGGGAAATTAAAGATTTGCAAGCATATTACAAATGTAGTTGTTGCTTTCACTTGCAGTTTAGACAAATTTAAATTGGATTTGTGCAAGTTATGTCACTTAAAACCCAAGATTATTTTTTATCGACATTATTTTTCTCAGAAATGGCGGAACACGAACCTGAATAGTTGAACTGGGACAATCCTAAAACAGAGATGAAAGAGATCGAACAACCTGCTGCGAGCTCATCATTTTGTGCATGTAAATTGGAGGATGGCTGCCCTGAATTTAGTAATGAGCCCTTCAAGACTGAACCTTCTACAGATGAAGATATAAAGGAAGTGGGTAATATGAATTCCTGTAGCTTAGTCATAAAAACTGAACCTATGGACTGCAAACAATTTCAATGTGATCTTTGTCAAGAGTCAGTCGATCATTCCAGTTCACTCCGTTCTGACGGGGAATGTGTCCCTGATCCTCTGAAGACAAACCCTCATATATGTAAACATTTAGCTGGACAAAGTTTACATCTTACCACTCATAAACGAACTCATAATAGAGAAAAACCTTATCCTTGTAGCGTGTGTGACTTTAAAACTGGCAGATCAGACGTTTTGAAGATACATATGTTAACTCACACTGGAGAGAAACCTCACAAGTGTGATATTTGTTACTACTCTGCTGCAACTAAAAGTAATCTGATGAGTCACAAACGCACACACAATGTAGAGAAGCTTTATAAATGCAATATTTGTGACTATAGAGCTAAAAGATCAAACGATTTGAAGACACATATGTTGACGCACACTCGAGAGAAACCTCACAAGTGTGATATTTGTAACTACTCTGCTGCAAATAAAAGTTATCTGGTGATTCACAAACGAACTCACACTGGAGAGAAACCTTACCCCTGTAGTTTGTGTGACTATAGAGCTATACAGTCGAACCATTTGAAGAAACATATGTTAACTCACACTGGAGAGAAACCTCACAAGTGTGATATTTGTTACTACTCTGCTGCAACTAAAAGTAATCTGATGAGTCACAAACGAACACACATTGGAGAGAAGCCATATAAATGCAATATTTGTGACTATAGAGCTAAAAGATCAAGCGATTTGAAGGTACATATGTTTGCTCATACTGGAGAAAATCCTCACAAGTGTGATATCTGTAGCTATTCTGCTGAAAGTAAAAGTAAACTGGTGATTCACAAACGAACACACACTGGAGAAAAACCTTACCCCTGTAGTTTGTGTGACTATAGGGCTACTCAATCAAGCTTATTGAAGAGACATATGTTGACTCACATTGGAGCGAAACCTTATCCATGTAGTTTGTGTGACTATATGGCTAATCAATCAAGTATATTGAAGGTACATATGTTGACTCACACTGGAGAAAAACCTCAAGCTCACAAGTGTGATATCTGTAGCTACCCAGCTGCAACTAAAAGTATCCTGGTGACTCACAAACGAAAACACGATGGAGAGAATCTTTACCAATGCAGTAAATCCACCAGTTTAAAGACAAATATGTCGACTCATAGTCAAACTGAAATACATTTCAAATGTGAATTATGCGAATTTACAGCGGAAACGGAAAGTCTTCTTGTTGCTCACAAAAAGAATCACCCAGATTTGCGACCGTTTGGCTGTGAAATTTACTGTGGCTATAGAGGCAAAACAAAAAGTGATTTAATTGACCATATTTGGGAGGTGCATGGTCGACTAGACCTCAAATGAATTGTTATCTAAAATATTATATTTTACGTACAACTTTATGACTTTACATAATTTAAATTATTGAAAGTGCTGCTCGATCATATCTATAACATTAGCTTGGAATGACAAGGTATAACTATAAAGATGAAAATTGATCTATTTTCAGTATATCATTAAATCGGATGTCATGATCGTACTTGAAGCACATTTTAGCTTTACAATTAAATCGAATGTTTCTTGTTTTATCAATATCTTCACAAATTGTTTTGTTCTTTTCCCAGTTGCTGTATTTATTGATCGTTTCCCAGCTCCTATATTTTACTCACCAATGCACTGTAGGTTTACTATTATAAAGCCTATAATAATTTCAAAACTCCCCATTCTTAAGGTGACTAAGTAATATTTGGACTTAATAAAGTGCCGGGCTAATTACATGATCAGTTTCTGTCCAACACTGTTATTGAGCTTCGACCATGTTGATCGAGCAATTATATGTTGCTCAGGCAATTATTACTTTATTAGGGGTGGTTGGCATATTGTGTAGTCACTTTTTGCCAACTTTCAACCCCCCTCCTTCCGTCATTAGTTTTACTACTTTGCTATTATAGTTAAAATCGCACTTTTATTTCAGAAATGGCGGAACAAAAACCTAAAGAGGTGTGTAAGGATAATCATAAAACAGAGATGATAAAGATCGAGCAACCTGCTACTAGTTTATCATCTTGTGCATGTAAATTGGAGGATGGCTGCCCTGAATTTAGTAATGTACCTTTCAAGACTGAACCAACTACAAATGAAGATATGAAGGAAACGGGTAATATGAATTACTGTAGGTCAGTCATAAAAACTGAACCTGTAGACTGTAAAGAATTTCAATGTGATCTTTGTCAAGAGTCAGTCGATCAACTCAACTCATATCTTTCTAATATACAATCTGTCCCTGATCCTCTGAAGACCAACGCTCATAGCAATGTGGTTATCTTTTATTCTATTGGAAATACTAATCTTTCTGGGTCTGGACTCAACTTAAAGAAGCGTATGTCAACTCACACCGGAGAGAAATATGACACTGGCAGTTTGTGTGAATTTAGGGCTATCCAATCAAGCCAATTAAAGAAAGATATGTTAACTCATACTTTAGAGAACCCTTATCCCTGCAGTTTGTGTGACTATAAAGCCAGCCAATCAAGCGATTTGAAGATACATATGTTGACTCACACTAGATATAGAGAGAAACCTTATCCCTGCAGTTTGTGTGACTATAAAGCCAGCCAATCAAGCGATTTGAAGATACATATGTTGACTCACACTGGAGAGAAACCTTACCCCTGTATTATGTGTGACTATAGGGCTACTCAATCAAGCGATTTGAAGATACATATGTTGACTCACACTGGAGAGAAACCTTATCCCTGCAGTTTGTGTGACTATAGGGCTAACAGATCAGGTCTTTTAAAGTCACATATGTTTACTCACACTGGTGAGAAACCGCACAAGTGTGATATTTGTAACTACTCTGCTGCAAGAAAAAGTTCTCTGGTGATTCACAAACGAACTCACACTGGCGAGGAACCTTACCCCTGTAGTTTGTGTGACTATAGAGCTAGCCAATCAGGCCACTTAAAGAAACATATGTTGACTCATACTGGTGAGAAACCTTATAAATGTGATTTTTGTTCCTACTCTGCTGCAAGTAAAAGTTATCTGGTGATTCACAAACGAACTCACACTGGAGAGAAACCTTACCCTTGTAGTTTGTGTGACTATAGGGCTAGACAACAAAGCCAGTTAAAGATACATGACTTACTGACTTAAGTCGGCTTCTTGGTCCGAGCAACTACAATTCCTCGCCACACGTCGCGGTCCAGCATAACAGATCTTATCTCTTCAACACAGGAAAGGCTGGTGTCCTTCTTTAGCATGTCCAGAAACGTAAGGTGGGGCCTCCCCGGTCTCCTGTATCCATGCTGAGGGTCCCAGAACAGAAGTTGGTTTGCCAGAAGGTCGTCATGCCTGGCTACATGTCCAGCCAGTCTCATTCTTCTGGAGGCTATCATCGCTGATGGCTTGGGGATGTTGCCGTATAAATCACTGTTGTTGATGATTTGTGGCCAACGTATGTTCAAGGCCATCCGGAGCATTCTAGTGTAGCATCCATTGATCCGCTTAGTCATGGATTGGCTTATCGTCCAAGCTTCAGAGCCGTACAGGAGTACGGGCTCAACCGTTGCTCGAAAGACACGGATCTTTAAGTCCCTGCGCATTCCAGACTTCCAGGTTGTCTTCAACTGATGACAGGCCCCCCATGCCTTTGCTTTCCTAACATCAAAGTCCTTCTCCGCACTCATTATTCTGCTTCCAAGGTAGACAAAGTCATCTACTTGCTCTATCTCCTGCCCACTTGCTGCTTTAATGACGGTAGAGTCAGACTCAGAGAGATTGACTCTGATGTACTTCGTCTTACTCTCGTTGAGGTGAAGTCCAACGGAGTTAGCAGCCAGCTCCACACTGAGGAGAAGATCTTGCGCTTGCTCTGCGGTGTCTGTTGTCAGTGCAAGATCGTCAGCAAAGTCGACATCTGTCATCTTAACTGCTGGGTATCTCCTGCTTCTTCTGGGGTTGACAGTGAAGCCCAGATCTTTGCCTCTAAGTGCTGTTGTCATCACATAGTCAATGACAATCACGAAGAGGTAGGGCGCCAGTGTATCTCCCTGCATAACTCCATCAAGTATAAGGAAAGCTTCAGTCAGACCATCCTCCGTGATGACTCGTGCCATGGTGTCCTTGTACATAGCATCTATCAGCCTAACAATGGGCTCTGGTATCCCATATGCCAGGAGTATCTTCATCAATATACCCCTATGAATGCTATCAAAGGCCTTCTTAAAATCGATGAACAAGAGAAGGGCGGTCAGGTTTTTGTCTCTAGCCCCCTCCAAGATCCTCCTTAGACACAGAATGTGGCTGGTGGTACTGCGTCCCTCCCGAAATCCGTTTTGGTTGATCCTCAGGATTTTCTCCATCGCTGGTTTGATTCTGTTAAGGATCATACGATTCAGGGTCTTACTAACAATGGACGTAAGAGCGATTCCTCTGTAGTTATCCACTTTAGTTAGATTTCCTTTCTTTGGCACAGGCACGATGTTGAGTTGCCGCCATTGATCAGGGATTTTTCCATCAACCAGAGCGCTGTTACAGAACTCTAGAATCAGGTCGTCCATGTCCACTCTTTTGAGAATCTCTGGAGCTATGCCATCATCACCATAGGCCTTACCCTCCTTGATCTGCTTCCTCGCCTCCGCTAACTCCTCCCTGCAAAACAGACCAGTCTCTATATAATCCTGCTGGGGGTGGATGGTTTGGATAACTATTTCCTGGTCAGGTACAGATGGTGGTTGACCCAGGAGCTTAGTGAAGTGGTCTTTCCAGCTCTTCAATCTCCCCTCTGCACTACCTCCATCAACCAGGCTGCATGGCTTGCTTTTCCTGCCATTTATGTCATTAATAAGGTCCCAACTTTCCTTATTCTTGCACCTGTCAGCAGCATCCTCAGCCCGCCTGATCCGAGAAACAAGAGTCTCCTCCTCAACCTCTTTGTAGCTCACTGCAAGTGCATCCTTACACTCCTTAACTACCTCTCTACTCTCCTCTGAAGGATTCTCATGATATGCGTCTTTGGCCTGAAACAGAGTTCTCCTCCTCTCCGATACCCTAGGATCTTGGGAGGGGTTGTTACGTTGTCTTCTTGGGATGGGCTTAAGCAACTTATGATTGGTTGCTTTCACGGCATCCATAAGCTTTCCGTACTGAATCGTGGGATCGTTCTGCTCACTAGATTCTTCCTCCAGTAGCATAGAGAATCTGTTTTTCACCTCCACAGAATACAAGGCTTGCAACTCCTTATTCTCTTTGAGCAGTCTGTAGTCATATCTTACTACTCTAGGTGCATTCTGGCACTTTCGCAGGCTGAGTTTGACTGAACTAACTACTAGACGGTGGTCCGACCCAAGAGAGTTAAAAGAATTGGAGACAACAGTGTCCTTGACTGAGTTACGCCACTTCTTCCTTATCAGGATGTAATCAATCTGACTCTTGCTCAGTGTTCCGTCAGAGAGATACGTCCATAGTTTACCGGGACGTTTCTGGAATCGGTGGTTAGTTGCCTCAAGGTTTCCCTCCAACAAAGTATCCCTGAGAAGCGATCCGTTTCTGTTGGATACTCGATGCCAGTACCAACCTGAATCCTCCTCATTCAATCTGCTAAGATGGGCGTTAAGATCACCAACAACCATTAGCAGATGATGGGCTGGTACCTCTCCTAATGCAGATCTTAGTCCCTCGTGAAAGTCCTCTGCCTCTTCATTTGATGCTGCTTCAGTGGGACTGTACACCGTTATTACTGTAAGCCGTGGGTTTCCATCAAAGGATATGAGAAAAATTCGCTTCCCAAACGATTTCATGAGACTCACTGCTTTGTAGGCCTGCTTGGTCAGCATAAACCCAACTCCACCAGTAGCAGCTTGTCGGGTGTTTCTCCAAGCAGGTGTGGTCACCAGGTGCACACCCTTCTCAAAACTCTGGATCTTGATCTCCTCCTCATGCACAATCCGGTGCTCTTGTACCCCTAAAACTGCAACTCTACTCCCAAGGAAGAGCGATGCTAACTCTATCCTCTTATACTGTTCCCTAACAGTACGAACGTTCAGTGTCCCGATGAACGTTTTCCTACTACACGACACAACGCTGCCACTATTACTGCTCTTCTTTTCCGGTTCTGTACTTATCCTGTTGTGTTGTGTTGGGTACGACAGTACATCATCGCCTGGCCCTCCCAGATTGGGTTTTAAGCCAACCAAGTCATAAAACTGCCGACCCTCCACAAGATTCGTGTTAGGGGCTTTAACCCTAGTGCTGTTTAAATTCATCATAGTTGTTTTTCAAATAGCTAAATGACCCCATGGAGTCCCCTCCATGGTGGCAAATGGTCATTTCCCAAAGCCACGCTACCGGAACATTTGGGTTTGAACCGCAGGAACATCAACTTGAGTTGAACTTTTTATCAGACTTTAACCAATCGAACTGTCTGCTCAGGGTAAATGAT